CGATTGCGCTATACATATATAAACTAATATATAAATATGTAAATTGTCAATGTGATGTTACAAGATCGAGGTTTTTTTTTTTTACGAGACGCATGCAAGACCGTGAAATTGAAGCGAGCGACTCAGAAACGGAGGTGTGAGCGAACAATAGACGAGTGACTAGCGGAGAAATTCTTCGGACACAATAAAACAGCGAGTGGAGATCTTGCGTCAATTCGAACGAGATATCTATTACACACTCTGTGATGCAACGCAAACTACAGCTTCATTAAACGTCCATTTATTATTTTTTTTTTTATTTTTTTTTTTTGGTAGCTAACGAAAACACATTCTTTTATTCGAATTTGATTGATGAGCCACCGGGCGAAATACCCAAAACGTGTGTGGCAAGCGACGGATTGACAGTCTGGCGTAAAATCGTCGGATTTTCGAAATTACTTTATCTTTCGTCGAGAGAGAAATTTGTTTTTTTTTCAATTTGCAACATTCGATTTGATTTTATTTGCTGTGTCATTTAACGATTGATCTTTATTTTTTTCTCTCTCGTTTCTGTCTGGAAACTTTGTAAGCTCAGGCGCTTTGTTTTAGCCGAACTTTAGGAGCACAAGGTGCACGCAGCGCCACGGATATATTTCGGCTGTTAATTACGTAGCCGTCTTAATTATGTATAGCGAGAGTATACAGAGTATCGGTGAAAGTATTTATTGATTGACAAATCGAAAGTAAGTTTCTACTTGGCAGCTATTCGGTCGAGACGATCGTTATTAATGGGAACGTGAATATTTAAGTATTTACAATATATATGCATATTACACCCGCATTACAGAAACGTCAATCGAAATGCGTCAAAATCGACAGGTCATTTGTGCGCTTTCATGTCGCAAGAGAAAGGGGCAAGTGAGCGAGAGAGAGAGAGAGAGAGAGAGAGAGAGAGAGAGAGAGAAAGAGAGAAAAAGAATGGAAAAGGAAAAAAAACCAGAGAAGAATTTTCAGTCCGTTCATGTGCCAAACAATACAACGAAAGAGCTCGCGCAATGTAAACTGTACCCAATAACCGGACGTGTACTACTTGCCGCGGACGCATTTATGAAAAAAATAATTATAACACACATAATTATATACTTAATGTAAAGAGTTAGGAAATAGTATTTAAAATATGAGAGTTGTCGTGTTGCAAGATTCAGCAAACTTCGCTCGCGTGTAATTTTTGACGAAAATCCGTTCTGAAACATGGCAATATATTTTGGGAAAAGTTTTGTTGCGTTTAATATTTAATATATTTTAATATTGCATTATTATGTTTATATAATATTTACGTATTGAATTATTTCTCTAGTCAACCGAACAAACGTTCGGCCATTGCTCATTTGTCTCGCACGGAAAAAAAGTTTCGCTGTCACATGGCCGGCAAGAAAAATTTCGCCAATGAATGTTTTATTTCGTCAACAAAATATTTTGTTGGCGAAACAAAACATTCCGGAGACTTGGCGCAAGTCTTTTTCTTGCCTGTCGTACGCGGTACCATACCAATCTTTCAGCAAAAATTGTCCTTCCCGGAGATCGTGTGCACGCACTCGGATCTCTCTCGCGCGGATTTCAATTTATTCGATTCGAATTTATTCGGGGAGAATTACGCGCGCGCAAAAATTTCGACAAGTTCCCCCGATTTTATTCGAGTCGAGTAATCTGGCGTAATTCAGTGAGGGAGAAAGTAGTAGCTTGTGCTAATGTATACGTGAAAGTGCGTATCACACGAACGAAAAGAGATACATTTGCAAAATAATATTTGACACTCGGACACTCTGTCACCGTCGTCGTCGTCGTCGTCGTTCCCATGCGTGTATCCCGTTTCGTCGTCGGATACGGGCGCGCGCTTATCATGGAAATCGAACGCATCGCATGAATTTTCGGGCGTTTCGGGCCTATACGGGCCCGCGCTCGACACTTTCTCCCGACCATGCAGACGGAGAGCGCAAAGAGAGGCGTCGTTAATCCTTCGCGATCAATGTTATTATTTTTATCGTCGCTTTTAATAGCCGTGTGTGTATGCGGTGCGGTATCTTCGAAAGTGGAAAGCAGAGATTTTTTTTCTCTCTCTCTTTTCTTTTGCGAGAAGAAATGCGGTGTCGTAATATATATATGTATATACGTACGCCGCGGTGTGCCAAAGATTATTCCGCATGCATATGTATATAACAAAATTACAGAAGATCTAATTAATTATTTAAAAGTTTATTATGAAATAACGCGAGTAAAATATGCAAAATATTTATATAACATTTCTCTCTCTCTCTTTCTCGCAAAATCGCACTTGTGTAGCACACTCGGTACACTCCCACGAAGATTGTGTTTGTTTCATAACGATGCGGGAGTGTTAAAAAAAGTCAAAGAACTCATTTGTCTAACGGAAAGCGAAAGGGAGAAATAGAAAGCCAAACATTTTTCAATTAACCGCAGATTGCGACTGGTGTTAGATGTTCGATTTCACTCGTATAGATTTTTTTTTTTCATACTTTTGCTCATCCTAAGAAACTGTCACTTTCATTAAGTTACAAATCGCAACTCTCGGCAAAGAGCTGCCGTCAAAAAAAAAAAACAGGAAGGATTATAACGCAAACTGCACTTTCTTGAGGAAGGTGTCACGCATTGACGCGATACGTGTGTGTGTGTGTGTGTGTATTATTGACACTGCTGCAGTATCGAAGAACGTCAGCGTGTGAATAGCGTGTAAATCGCGCGCGAATTGCTCGCACAAGCCATTAGCGCCGCCGACGCTTGTGAATTGCAAAGCAAATGTTTAGATCATCGACGACAAACGCGAACACGCGGGAAATCCGTAATGCGCTCATCGCGCTCATCTCGTCTCTCTCAAAGGGAGTTTCGAATTCCACGAAGATCTTTGCGATGAGACACGATGATCCGTGACTCATGAAAAATTCGGATTATGTCCGTCAAAAGAGATGCACACAGTCATTAATGGGTCTCTGATATCGCTCGCAGCGGCTATTATCGTTAAATAATCCACAATAATCAAGCTGCAATTAATCAAATTTGTTGTGACGAACTCTTGTCTATTTTTTTTTTTTTTCTACTCGCTTTTCTGACATAATTACGCAATCGTAACATTATTTTCTTTGCGATCGAAGGATTTGATCCAACGGATTATTAATTCGCTTCTTACATAAAGAGTTGTTTTTCCACAAGAATTTCATTTACGGAGTTTCAAGAGAAGATTACGCAATGCTCTGCGTGAGAGTTTGAAATTTAATTTAAAATATTTGGCAAAGAGGAGATGAAATCGGTGCGACACAACGCGATAATAAGTTTGTTTTTCTCGCAAAACAAATGATGAAAAAAAAAAAAAAAAAAAATCACAGGCTATAATAAATTGCAATTAGACGAAGGAATTGAAGTTATCGCACGCGTTTCATCATTTGGGCAACAAGTGGCGCAATATATGAAATATGCAAATAAAATATAACGGAGGTCGATTTCGAGCAAAAATGTTGAATAATATTCGAGCGAAATTAAAGTTTTTTTTGATAATTACATGAAAGCGAAGCCGTCTCAATCTTGTTCCAAAAAAGTCTTCTTCAATCGCATATTAACAATATCATAAAACAATTAAGAGGCTGTCATGATCTTCGGGATTGACGTAATAAAATGATGAAAAAATATTTTAATTAGTATCAATATTATCTCTTTTATCACGTGACAGAGTCTCTCAATTCTTTTATTATATTGTTAATCCGCCGAAGAAGGCTCTTGTAAGAGAGATCGTTTTGTGCTTTTATGTACAAATATATATTTATCAAAACTTCAATTTCGTTCGAATGTATTCGTCATTCTTGCTCGAAATTGACCTTCGTTATATTTATTTGTTTTTGTACCGCACGAAATGTTTTGTAATTTTCTCTTTATATATGCAATTTTGCAAAAACTGTCAAAATAGGATTTTTATTTCGTTATTACGTTAACCGGCGCCTATTGACTCTGGCCCTGACCTGATCATAATCCAGCTATAAGTGACATCATTGAGAGAAGGATGTGCGCTTACAGCCACCTTAACTGGCGAACGCGCGCATTTGAATCGGAATTATATATAATTCGGGCTGTATAATTTTCGCATAAACAACGTTATTTTAGACAAATAACAACAATAAAAAAGTTTGAGCGTGTCCTCGAAGATGATTATTTCATCGGGATTTTCATATATTTAGAAAATACCGATCGCGATCCGAATATGAAGATGCGCGTTCCTACGTTCATACGTCTCGCGCTCGATCTGATGCCCGTGATCTTCCCACGCGCTCTCACGTGTATTATAACATTGGAAAATGACACACACAAGATACAATACATCTTGAAAAACTCTTTAATTTGCCGAAATTCCTTTTTAGCAATTAACTCGTTTTTTTGATTTCGCGAGTAATTGTCTCGCGCGCGGCGATCCGAGAGATTGCTCGTTGCGAGATATCGAGATTAACATTTATCCGATGTGAATTAAATGCAGATCGTAAATTTATAATTTTACGACTTATGCCGATTATTTAACGAACTGGCGAAAATCTCATTGAAAAAACATGAAGCAACAACGAGGGTAGGAGGGAGGGTGGGGGGAGGAAGAGGAGTAACATTGTCCCTGAAAGAAGCCGTGACATTTTGTGCAAACGCTTTAAATTTGTAATTAGTTCGCGCAATAGCACGGATTTCAATACGTCTTTTCGTGTTGCGACTCGATAAAAAAAAAAACGTTATCGCGTAATAATAAAACAAGACATTGCGCGTAAATATATCTCATTTTTTGCATACGTCATATCACATTTCTTCTGGGAAGAGTCCCTCGGTCTCTCGATCCGTTTCGCGCGATCCCACGAACGAATTGAACTCCTCCTACGTGAGGAGTTTGCTCGCACGTATTATTTCTGCGGTATAGGCAACAGTCATATTTCTGCATAATTCTTTGTCGCATCGACGCGCGCGAGGCTCGCGAGGAGACGTTGTGCGTTATCGTTCCTCCTAACGCATCCCGTTCGATTCTCTCTTCGATTCGGATCGGTGGTTTATGCAAAAGCGTGCGCGACGACACGAGAAAGCGAAGATGTAATAAAATTACAAAAGAAAAATATATACATATATATATATATATACTGTACTCTTACGTATTATATTTCTCTCGGTCTTGAAATAAATTCAACATGCGCGCTTAAAGGAAAACGCGTTTGCTGCAAACGTTTGTGTGTGCAACTTTTATATATCGCGTTTATGCGATATTCCGAGAGGTATTTGAGAAGAACCGGTCGCTCGCGCGCCGAAGGGGAACGCGTATAGAAATCCATTCTTTTTTTTTTTTTTTTTTTTTTGACGTTGTAAAACATCGAAGTGACGTTAATGGAATCTCCGCGTGTTTATTTTCGTACGTCGCGCGCGTGTTCCGACGTCGCGTCATGTGTGTCGAAATAATTAGTTTTAACGAGTTTACCTGGTTTTTTTCTTTGTTTGCAGATTAATCTCACGATGAGACCACTGCTGGAAATGCTACTAGTTGTAGTAGCGTTAGCTACGCGCACACGTGGACTCCCCTACGGAGAAGCGCCACCTCAGTTGTCAGCAGGTCGGTATACAATTAATTAGAAAATCAAGAAAATTAATGAAGAAATTACGAGGATAAACTCGGAAAAAGATAGTCCCTTTGAATCTTAGTAGAGAGTTTCAATAAAAAAAAATATATTTTAAGTATTTTGTTCTAAAATAATCTTCCTTAATATAATTGGAAGAGTCGCAACTCGCATTGGTCTCCAATCGAATTACATTTCAGAAGATCAACTCGTCTACGGCAACTATCCTCGCGCTTCCCAGGCTCAAGACAACGTCTTTCCCAATTACAAGGAGAACATAGTTCCTCAACAAATCGGTCAATTCGATTATCAACAGTCGCAACAAAGTACGACATAAACTATCTTTATTTTTCGTTTGTTTTTATTTGATAACACATCTTGTTACATTGATTGCAAATGATGATCGTATTGATCGCAGACACGTTCGAGGGATACGAAACGCAAGGTCAATCGTTGCAACAGGAGCAACAAAATCCCGACTACGCGTATCAGTCGCACGATCAGACGTTGCAGACGTCTTATCCCAGCGCCGCGGACGATTTTACTATCAGCTGCACCGGCGAAAACAAAGTCTGCGTGGCCAGAAGTCTGTGTAACGACGGATACGTGCATCCTCTGAAGCAAGGTTTTGTTCGGTCAGGACAGGTAGAGATAATTTTTTTTTTTTTTTTGAAGTTTTTCTTCTGAAAGATAATTGCAAGGTTTGTTAATATTTTTTGTGACTCACCAACAATGTTGATCCGCGACAGGTGCAGGAATGCAGGCTCAGCCACGAAGTGTGTTGCACCGTGCGATACGACAACTCGCCGTACGACAACAACGATCAGATCAACTCGGTGTTGGGGCCGAAGTATCCCGAGCCCACACTGGAGAACGATGAGAGATACGTTCCCTATGGAGAAAATAATCAGGAGGACGTGACGAGTTTGAATCCACCTTTGAAAACCGACGGCGAATCGCAGTCGGCGTCAAATGGCAAATACGCGATCAAATCTCCCAATCAGTCCGCTGAGGAAGCGCCTGTCGATTACAATCACATACCCGCTGATACCAATCAACAGACTCAATATCAATCGGGTAAGTAATAATTGTTTTCTTTTTCGATTAAAAAACAAACTAATGAAATCGCATTTGAAAAGCGAAAGGATATTCTCTCTTACGTGCGTTTGGCATTGTTTCAGGCGATTTTAGCGCCAGCGAGCCGGTCTTACCGATCAAATCGGCTCCTACAAACTCCAATCCCGCTTCGGTCTTTCAATTTTCGATTCCTTCGGGATGCGCGGCCGCCTTGCTCTGCGTTGAAGAGCAGTATTGCACATTGGAGGGCGTAATCAGCAAGGAACCGGTTGCGCTTACCAGCAGTCAGCTGTTACGTCGCGTCCCGTTGAGCGTAAGTGACAATGTTATAATTATTATTTTGAAAAATGTTACAATCTCTTGTAAAATGTTTGTTTCTGCAGAGAACGCAAAGCGAATATTTTGTCCAGTAGTTTTGTATTCTTATTTTTAAGTTAATTAATACTAATAACTCGTGTGTATAAAATAAAATTTTGTAAATATATCGATTCTTTGATTCGCAGAGCTGCAAAAATCCAGAGACCGGAGTGATCGGCAAGTGTTGTCGCGATCCGGATTACGTGGATCCGTGGCCGACGGGAAATTTGCCGGCCAACTACAGCGGCGGCTTCGACGAACAGGGCTTTCCGACGTTCCTGAACATCGCGAAGGTGCGACCGCCTACGAGGAAGCCGCCCACGAAGACGATACTCAGACCCCCGGTCACGCAACCGCCGTTGATTCACGAACAGCCCACGAATGTCGTGCAAACCTTGGTGATCGATAATACAGACGTGACACCGCAACGCGTGATACCAATTTCAACTCAGATCCCAATAACGTCGCCCAGCACACCCGCGCCGTTCACCAAACCACCGTACGAGTCCGGTTCGAGTATCCAGCCGGAGGCTATTGTTCCCGACGTGCCGCCATTGTCGCAATTACCAGAATTGCCGCCATTATCACGAGTACCAGAATTGCCGCCATTATCACGAGTACCAGAATTGCCGCCATTATCACGAGTACCAGAATTGCCGCCATTATCGCAAATACCAGAATTGCCGCCGAATAATCCATGTGGAGTGAGAAATTACGTAAGTATCTTCTCTTTATTATTTTCCGTTACTATTAGCATGTGAAATTTTTGAAACTTTCACTCTATAATGTGTTATCGAAATTAGTTTTAAAAATGAAGAAAAAAACACGAGGAGTAATTGTCCACTCGCGATAATTTGAACAATTTATATTTTTCTCAAACGTAATTTTAAATGTTTGAATATCGAAAGGAACAACGACCGCATGGCTTCAGAGATTCCGATGCTGCTTTCGCTGAAATTCCCTGGCAGGCGATGGTCCTATGGTCGGAAGAGCGTAAAATTTTGTGCTCCGGCGCGCTCGTGGCGGTTGACGTCGTTTTGACATCCGCCGGTTGTGTAAATAAGTAAGAGATTGTTAACAATTTTAATTTCGTATGAATTGTGTGAGAAAATTAGATGATATTTTATTTACAATTTTTTATGTTGTATTTTTATCCGCGGCCAATTCTCGAATGAATGTTCGCCTTAGATTTGAACCGAAAGACATATCCGTTAAACTCGGAGAATGGAAACTGGGCTACGAGCTGAAACACGAGGAGCCGCTTCCGTTCGAAATCATCAACGTGCGAACGATCAAGTATCATCCCGGATACGTGCAGGGATTGTCGAGCAACGACACGGCCATGTTGATCTTGGAGCATCCTGCGTCCTTCAATTTGCACATCAACACGCTGTGTCTTCCTGACAACTATCAAGTGCAGGAAACCTCGCAATGCATCGTGACGGGATGGGGCAAATCTATACTGCAGGGTAAATATACGCTCGCAGTGATTAGAACTGTGCGATTAAATGTTTTTTATTTCTAAACTTACGGCACACATCGTGTGTTAAAACTTTATACACACACAAAATCCTTGAAATTTTATCTCTGTCTTTTGAAAAATATCCAAAGCATTTAGAATGAATAAACATGCACATTCGAATATTTTTTTAGCTCATTATGCCGGGGCCATTATGCACATGGTCGATGTCGATCTTCTATCGCACGACGTTTGTCAGAATCGCTTATTGGGAGCGGAGTCGCAACTCAATATAGCGCATAATATAATTTGCGGCAAAGCGCACGATGAGAACAACATGTGTCAGGCTGACATCGGAGCGCCATTAGCCTGTTACGATGGAAAAGGAGCTTATCACATCGCCGGAATTTATAGCCAAGATACCGGATGTTTGCCTACAAATCAAGTAGGTCTACATAAATATTGCCACGCTATAGCGCCGACATTTGTTGACATTGAGAAACATGTGATAATGGTGAAAATGCGAATTAATTATAATAAATAAAGCTTGGACTTAAGAATGTTTTTCTGTTTTATAGGTGGCGACGTTCGCACCCATCGATATGACCTGGGTGAAACAGACCATGCACTCGCACATAGATACCCCGCAAATTGTTCCCGATGACGGATACGATTATCGAAAGAGCACTTTACCAGCTGGATCTAATCAGTATTTGCCGCCAGTATAAAAAATACATGATGCGACAGCATTTTTATGTACTGTTGCGTGTGTAGCATGTGTGTTTTTTTTTTTTTTTTTTTTTTTTTTTAATACTCACGAATGTGTTTTCAGAGAACGCAAGGAATCACAGTCATCACAGGGTGTGTTTGCATAACCCGATCTAGCGTAATGCCGCGGGAAGTAATTATATGTAGTAGCTTTTAATTTTTATGCTAAGTCACGAAAAAGAGTCATCTTCTATTGTCGCAAATATTAAAGGTACAATTTACATTACCAGAGTACTAAGTATATATATATATATACTTGCGGTTGCTTACGTCTGACTCATTTGAAATTAAAAAATAGACACATGATATATAATATCAATGGCAAAACAACTTCTGTTACAGAAGAGATAGATATATTTTTTTTCTTAACAAAGTCACGACATTACAACAGCGTTCGTTATCGGAAAGAAATTAAAGATCTCGGAAGTCTTTTGTGAAAATAAAAAAAAACCACGATCGTCTAGACCTAGACGTTATTTTATTTGCAATACGCGTAAAAATAATATATGTTTGGTGTAAATAACGGGAACATCACATAAAAAAGACACAATACTCTACATGCGTATCACGGGATCTGTCAAATACTCACATTACATTTAGTTTGAGTAAAATATTTGTAGGAGAACACACATCGCGAAGAGATTGGTTCGATAAGTATGCAAACTCTTTGGTTCACTTTCTACTAAAAGAAATTAATTATATTTTGTACAGTAAAATTAATTAAAAAAAAAAAAAAAAAAAAAAAAAAAAAAAAAAAAAAAAAAAACATTTGAAGTTGATGTCACTTCACTTTTTTTGATTCTAAATTGTTTATCTCAATTGTCTTTCCGTGATTCGTCGTCACTTCCAATATCGCACGCACAACGAATGCTACAACGGCAATCAGACCTAACGCGCAAAGCAACAGAAACGCAATCACATCGATGAGATGTAATTTATACCAGGGCAAATCTACAGCGGGTGATCGCAAGGCGTCGTTTCCGTATCTGATAACGTATTCGGTCCAATAGATAGCTTTATCGAGAGAACTTAACGGTTGATCAGTGAGTCTTCGAGATATATTTTGAGCAGATTCCCTGAAAAAACACAAATATAAATAAATATACGTTCAAAAATAAACATTATCTTCGAATATATATATCTGAATATCTATATATATTGAATGAATATATTCAAAAGATAAATATTATCTTAAAAGACCGAAGTTAAAATAATTCGATAACGAAACATGCAAATTTTTAAATAAAAACAATTTAAAAGTTGTAAAAGTGTGCATATGTAATATATGTATATTTATACGGAATAAAAATTTCATTAGACATTTTTCAGATATCGCATGCAACTGTTGACGTCCAATGGAAATTTTTTTTTCTGTGCGGACGATATGTATACGTGCGCGTAATAAAGCACAATGCACTTGCATTACATATATATGTATATGTATACTTTTACATACGTTCAAAATTCGTTCGATATTGATTTGTAATAAATAATAGATAACGGACAGAGAATATGCATGAAATAGGAAAAAAAATATGCGTTTTTGTTTGATCTACTTGTAAATAGGATTCCGTAGTATCTCGTGTAACGCTTCATCCATGTCCTTTTCCGTTAGCGTATTAATGTCGAGCTTCAGTGCGGCATTTTTGACTACGTACGAGTCGATATTCTTAAATTGATCGGCGAAGAGCGGTATGCCGATCATAGGAACACCGTACGTTATCGCCTCTTGCGTACCCATGAGTCCGCCATGAGTGATAAAAGCTTTTACGTTAGGATGTTCTGCAATACGTTACATTCTTACGTCAAAAATATCAATTTATATTTTATTATTGCAAACATGCGATTATAAATTCAATCCATTTTCTCTCTTTCTCTCTCTCTCTCTCTCACACACACACACTATTGTCAGATAATTTTATAAATTTCCGATCAACTGATTGGAATCGGTTTCAACTTTCATCAAAAGTCACATACTCACTCAATACTTTAATCTGCGGCATCCACGGGGAGGTGTAAACATTTTCAGGTAAACCGGACGGTAATTTATCCGGATTCGGAATCTTCATTAAAACCCGCACGGGCGCTATTTTTCTCAAAGAGGAATAGAGTATGTTCAGGAACTCGCGTGGGAACGTCTCGATCATTACCATGGAGCCAAAAGTGAAGTAGACGATGCCGTCTTTGCTGTCATTCATCCACTTCTCTAATTCCTGAAAATGAAGCGTCAGCGCGATATTGTGACTGTTTCGTTCTTTTACATTCTGTTTCCATCTACGTGGAGAATAAAAATAATGAGACAGCAATTCAAATATGATTAGAGCAAAGAAATGTACGAGAACTTGAACATTTTGTCCTCGTTGTATACGAGCTGTATCAGTTTTATTTAAGACGAGAATATAGCGGCTGCGTTTGTAGCAGAAACGCAATCTCGTTTACGTGATTGTGATTCTTTTATTCACTAATATTTTTCTTGAAGATTTATAACAGATCATGCAACAGATGTGCAACAACAAGTGAACGCTTGCAAAAGCCAGCCAATTATATGAGATTAGATATGAACGTAAGACATAAAGTGATATAAGAACGATATTAATGAAGATATAGGGATGTGCGTGATTCATGATTTCAAACACGTCTAATTAAAACATTTACTGTCACAAAATGCTGATTGTTCTAGATAACACACACGCACTATATGACAACAAGTGATGTAAATATAATTTACAATCAACTAAGACTTTTTATTTCGCACGCAGTTACGTCGAGTAACAACTCTCTAGATTTTTTATCTACAGAGATCTTTTTTATTTGTATTTCTCTGCTGATTGTATTACAAACGTTATGCAATATATACACATAGAAATATGATTCACAAAAAATAAATAATTTAATTGAAGACTTTAACAAACATTTTTTGCAAGAGAAGTAAGACACGGATGCGAACATAGAAAAAAAAAAAACAAACAAACAAACGGAGAAATTGCTGGGAAAAGAACAAAAAACATTTCGGGTATATTGTAACAATAACAATAAATGTATGTACGTACAGGTTGCAGCTTCAAATTTTCATCCTGAACGTGCAGCCCTCCGACTTCTATCGCGGCAGGTACCAATGGCTGGAGTTTATTCAATACGATGTGAGAGTTGATGAGAATTATGGCGAATTTCTTCTCCAGTTCTTGCACGGTCGGCGCATCCGGTCCAAAATGCTCTCTCAGAATATTGTTTTGCGTCTTCGTTGTGAGATAATTGAAATACAGTTTGTTAAACAACGCGTTCCCGCTATTGTACAGACGCTGCCAGAAGTTCAGATCATCGACGTAGGTAACGTAATTGTTTGGGACGAAAGCCAGATTCTCGGGCTGACCGATAAGCCTGTGTAGCCACGGATAAAGCGACGTTGTGCTAATACCAATCAGAGGAACGTTCCACAGGTGGGCAATGATTGCGAAACAATGAAAACCAAACGCCTAGGCAAAAATATATTAGTATTATTATGGAGATATAGATCGGTAAAGAATACGATATCCATTGAACTCTATTATTTATTATAAAAATAAAAAAACCAAACTAAAATTTTTTCTAATATACACAGAGATTTGTATATTGCCTGCGTCTCGGTCCACATCCGCATATTATTGAAAATACATGACAATCTTGTTTGCCGAGTTTTTCTCTCTTTTTTTTTAAGTTGAAGGTAGAAATGCTCTAATCGAATGACGTATGAATATAGATCTACTAGAGCCGTTACGACATTAATCATATTAGTCACTGTATACACATACATTGTCGAAGATCTTGAAAAGTAATTTGCGTATTTATTTTCTAGTTTCATTGCTACTACCCATCGCGGAGAATACAGATAAACTATCTATTACCCTCTGTTGATCTCTTGTAATAGAAAAGATTGCACAGCTAATATATTTATCATTGCGGCGCAAGAGTAATCGCAAAAGTGTTCTAAAAAATATTTTTTTTTTTTTTGCAAACAGTTTCTTAATGTTTGGACTTCGATCACAAGACATGTGGATTTTGTATTAAATTCGGATTGTGCATCGAAATTTTTTAATTTGTTTCTCATACGAGCGATGGCGTTTTTTTTTCTTCGACACTTTGATTTGTGATTTCAACATGTATTCATTTTAAAACAAGAACATGTTACATAACAGATAATGATCATCGCACGTGCCGTCTATTACGCACGCGGTTAAACCTTGTATCATTTTTTGTTATATATGATAAACAAAATGCGATATTTTACTGTTGAAATTTTACTGAGAGAGAGAGAGAGAGAGAGAGAGAAAAAAAGAAAATAGCAAGAGAATAGCACAAACAAAATATTGTTTTCACATACTTCCAAAATTATCGCGTCGTAAGGTGGATCCTTTGGCGGATTGCGCACCAGTTTTTGTATCTCCGGATGCCCTAAGTTCTTGCACATATCGTTGCCTCCAATCGTCGCGATGGCAAATGTTGGATTAGCGTTCAACGTTTGCCGCATAAAGTCGTACGTTATATTGTTTACCAGAACAACAGGCGGTTTCAGTTTCACGATATCGGTGTAATTCGGGTAAGGTTTTTTCAACGGAAACGCACTTATTACATCAACCTGATGACCTTTCCTGGCCAGACCCTTCATCAGCTGTTCGAACATAATGAAATGGCTTTTGGCGTGAAAGGGACATACTCCGAGCAGACGATATCCATGGCACGTTGACAAATACAATAACAACCAGACGAACATCGATATCCGCATTTTTCCTTCTTTAATATAATCTGATGATCTTCGATCGAACAGTCCGACACAAAATCAGTCGTCACAAAATTCACCGTGTAGTTTTATTTTTATTCTTATTAAAATTGTAAACGCGTAAAATTATCTGCTAGTGAAAATTTCAACGTTGTGAGAAAAAGGCCAATACGAGATTAGTTGTTACGGTGAATATGTTTATTATTATTAATTTAAAGATCAGACGTTTCGATCCACTTTTTAGGATCTTCTTCAGTGATAGTCTAGTTAAACAACAAAAGAGACAGTGCGTATGATGTCGTGCCAAGTGATTTGCAAGATGGTAGTCAAATTATGAGTCGAAGTTTAACACAGTATTTTCGTTGTCGTGTTCTTGACTCATAAATTTTAAAACTTTTAAAACTGTTGAAAGTTTTAAATAAGTTTTAAATAAGTAAAAATAACTTAAAACTTGACAGTTTTAAAATTTACAGGTCAAGAACACGATAACAAAAAAGTTCTAAAACTTGTAAAACTTTTATTTTAACTACAAAATAAAACAAAGTTTTAAAATTCATAAGTCAAGAATACGACAACAAAAACACTGTGACTCATGGTCAATTTGACTATCATTTTGCAAACCACTTGACATGACTTCACAAGCACTAATCAGCCTTTTGTTTTTTAGCTAAACTATCACTGAAAAAGATCTTAAAAAGTGGATCAAAAAAACGTCTGATCTTTAAATAATAAACATATTCACCATTAACAACCAGGTTTTTGCTTATATTGGCCCTTTTCCTACAACGTTAAAATTGTAAATTTTTTATTAGTAAAATTTTGTTTTTATTTCTATTATTATATTTTTACAACTTTTGTACTGTTATTTATTTTTATACTGTTTTTTTTTATGTGTTTCATGAACGTAAATGTTTTTTAATTAAAGAAAAATCTGTAGTAATAAGTTGAACAAAAATGTTGACGCGATAAAAGAAACAAATTAGCGAGATCATTCGAAAGATGATGCGCTGCTTTACGGTAAGTTAAATACTAAAGTCGCGCCAAAAGACTTTCAACTTGTGGATTCCTATAGTAAGTATGCTATATATACATATGTATGTAATGTAGTGGGAGAAAATAGATGGGTACATACATGCAAGCACAGTGACTATACATATATTATAATTGATTGCGTAGATATTTGTTACGCGATTCGAATTTATGCGTCATCATCTTACAATTTGCTTGATTTATGTACAATTATTGTTGCATAACATTTAGATCTTATTCGTGACAAGAAGGTCTGATAATAGGTTTTGTTTGCAATAATAATAGCTCTTTTCTTTCGCCATTTCGAATTGTACACAAATGTAGAAAAGAGATAAGTAACAATTAAGATGATATAATAAAACCAACTACAGATAGAACGTTAATAACATTGTTTGATAAAAAAAAACCAATGCGCGAATCATGTTGTTTCTCAAGGAAAACAAGTGAAACGATTGACATTGCGATTGTCTTTCAACGTTCTGCAGCAGTCAGTGACGAAGATGATAATAAAGAACGATAACAAGTAGTAGAATAATTATCAGTCACATAATTGCACTAATATATAAGCAGATTGATAATTCTTCGATTGCTTTTCTTTCGTAGTTTATTCTTTTCTCGATAGAAAAGAAAAAGAAAAGAGAAAATATAGAAAAAAAGAAACACACACATATATATATATATGTATATTAAAAAAAAAAATTTAATTTTAATTCACAATGTCTCTCGGACTTTTGTGCTGGGAACGTGTCTTTAGTTTCAAAATTAGTCGAACGTTTGGTTTTAAGATACCGCTAATATGAACATTATTCCCGTCGGGTTGAGACAAGACCTTCTTTCTATTCTTGCTCTCACCTAATCTCATTTTATCATTCTGCGACAATAATCCACGCGGTTTGAAGTTTGCGAAACGTTTTTCGAGCGATTCTTGAAAATCTTTGGTAAACAATTCATCTTACAGTGTTCAGAAAAGAAGTACACATTATATTTATCTCAATTGCAGTCGTCGGATATCATCACCAAAATCCTCTTCGAAACAACCTTCGTCGTCAACTCACATCATTTTTTCACGACAACACTCGACAAGCTCCATTGCGTGTATATCGACTCCAAAATAAAACGCATTTTGAAATACAAAAGAAAAAACAAAATTAGAAGTTTTTAATATTGTTTTTTTTTTTTTTTTTTAATATTGTTGGGCTCGTGCGTAAGAAACGCGCGCCCACGGCGATTTGGGAGTGGAAGGACAACACACTTTTTGTTGTTTCGTAAAATATATTTCGTTAAAAAACGATACAACTGAACTGTAACGACGACTACAACTAACTAACAATAACTAATCATGGCCGACTGTTATAAAAAAAGGTACTGACATGTCTACAACCGCGGCTTACAATTGACTAGATCACAGATAGCAACTAAAGAGTGCGCTTGCGCCTCGAAATCATTATTCCTGCAAATATATCATAAGAATAATTATATCCGAGAAAAAAAGTCCTTCGTACGGACAATTTTATATCCGATTATGGATAATTATATATTGTCGTGTAATGAGAAGATCGAGAGAGAGAGAAAGATCATCTCAATATTATTATATGTATAATTATTTCTATAACCCGATATTTTCAATTTGTCCATATGTGCGGGACTTTTATCCCCAGAAAGACGTACAAATTTGCAACATCGAGAAATTATCTAAAATTATCTAAAAAGTTATTTTAAATATGAAAACAGAAAATAGGGTGACGCAATTCTTAAATCAGAGATTCTTAATGTGCGCGCAAATATTTTTTCATTTATTGATTTATTTATTAACATTCAATACACGATGCGATAACTCACGGTTCTTTTCAATATTTTGTTTTACGATCGGCAAGAACTAAATTCATGTGAATTTTTTATTTGACAACTTCATTATCATTTTTATTTTACACTGTCTCATTGCGGTGACGCATTATCCACTATTATATTCTATGCTAAAAACGGTTTTACATTACAGATGACAAAATGTTTCTCATGAATATTGACATTTTTATATAAATGTCGAACGCATATATAATTCCAATTCGTCGCGCTCCCGCGCTCACTCCGCGCAACTGTTCTCTGTAATTCGATTTCGATATCGAGACTCGCGATAATCGAAATATCGAACGAAAAACGCGCGCGGCAGAGAGAGAGAGAGCACGGAACAGAACCGAAAATCGAGTAGTTTTGTTCGGTTGTCGATTCGTCGTAGTTGTCATGCGCAAAACGTAGACATCGCGGCGCTCGCGAGCGGGAACATGCGTTCTCAAGGTCATTATCGACAGAGAGAGAGAGAGAGAGAGAGAGAGAGAGAAAAGACCGCGTTCCACAATTCAATGCCAAAATCGAAAAATATTTAACACGTAACGTAAACTATACAGTGAACATCTCCCGAGAAAGCTGTCCGCTGTGAACGATTTTTGTCTGCTTGGATGTCGCATCCTACATAGGTCCTTATACATCATTTTTGAGGATTTAAATGACGTTGAAACCGGCGCGTAAAAAGCACAACAATGGGATGACCGCTTACAGATCAGGCTTCTCTCTCTCTGGTAAAACACATCATCTATATACACACGTACGCGTCTATGGTTGACCATCATTGATCTAACCGAGGAATACCGAACACGACCGAACGGTCACGAGTGACTGTGCGAATATCATCGTGTGATTTTAATTTCTCTGCGGTCGCATACATATGTGCACGGTGGTGTGGCGCGTACGTGTGTCGCGTATATGTTTGCGCGTTTGATTACTTAAAAAAATATGTAATTACGCGATCGGCGGACACGAATTGACGGGCAGGCGCAACGTTAACTTTCATCTCGGGATATTACTGCGGGATAATCGCCGAGTTTGTCGGAGTTTATTAACGGTTTCGCGATGTCGGAGATACGCAAGCGAACGACTGAGGATGTGTCGGCGGCAACGCGGGACGTCAGCGATGATCAGGTATATAAACGGATTTTTTGTTTTCTATTTGTGAGGTAATTGTTTCAATTGCCTCGCAATTATCGGTGACGATTGTTGTCCCGCTTTAATGCCGACTTAATGATTGTTCGCACGCGAGTCGAACGTCGCTCCGCCGCGTCATCTTACGCGGATGCGATATAAATAAGTACATATGTTGTGTGTCAATATATACATAGATATTTGACAGTTATTGCTATAACACCAAAGCGTGCGCGCACACTAATTCGATGATGTTTGCACACGTATGTGTGTATACGTATACATAAATATATGCGCTAAAAATAGAATTGCACACGTACAAAATAAACATTTGAAGTGTCCTTCTGTCAAGTTCTCTTCCCGCATTTATCTTATCCAAGTTAATGTTGTTAAACTTCAAAGAATCTCTTGTTTACATTTTATTCAACTCGATAATACATTACTTATAAGAAAGCAAACTGTTTGCAAGAAAAATTTTTAAAAAGTGATATTGTTAAGGAAAATATTAATTTAATTGTTATGACATTGTTTATTGAAGTAGTACAATTTCTTTTCTATTAGAAAGAGGATATCGAATCTGAAGATGATGCAAAACTGGAGGTGGAGGAATTAGCAAAATCTTTACCTCAAGGAACTGATCATACTCCGCATATTTTAAGTTCTGTTCTCTCTGGTCTTCCAGATCGGTAAAAATATTATACATACATATTATTTCCTTATTTGTATAATAGATAACTCACTGTTTATAATCCTCTCATGTATTAAATCAAAAGATTGCTCAAATTCCATTTGATAGAATTATAAAAAAATTATGTATCTTGATTGCGAAGTAAAGATTTATTGATATTTTAATGTTATAGTTGGCGCAATTGGATAATCAGAACTATTTTTACTTGGTTTATGATAGCTGGATTTTGTCTTATTATTTACGGCGGTCCGTTAGCTTTGATGATTACAGTAAGCTGGTTTTGAAATATTTATTATATTAATATTTTAGATCAAGAGTGATACAATGAATCTTTTTTAAATATATATTTGATTTTGCAGACATTAATTGTACAAGTAAAATGCTTTGAAGAAATCATCAATATTGGATACGCTGTATATAGAATCCACGGTTTGCCGTGGTTTAGGTCTTTATCTTGGTATTTTTTGCTAACTTCCAACTACTTCTTTTATGGAGAAAATTTAATGGACTATTTTGCAGTGGTGATTAATCGAACGGTAAGAAGGTTTCCTTCTATTTCCACATACGCAAAAACAATATTTTAAGTTTTCTGTTATGTTTCTTCTGTTGCTTTAAAAAACAAAGCAATATGTATATACACTATCTATATGTACATATACACACATGACAAGTGCCAAGCCTTTAATCTTTATTCGAATATATCTGTTATGGCTTCATTATTTTGTAAGACTTCCTTATCAGAGGTATCTCTAATTGAAGAAACAAATTGTACATATAAAAAAATTTATATACACATGCACCTTATAAGTAATAATTATGATAATTGTCACATATTTTTTTAATGCACAAATAATAATTATTAATAATGTCTCCAGGGATATCTGCGTGTACTCGTCACATATCATCGATTTATTTCATTCTGTCTCTACATCGTTGGTTTTGTATGGTTTGTTCTTTCGCTTGTGAAGAAGTATTACATGAAACAATTTTCGTTGTTTGCCTGGACACATGTTGCGCTGCTTATTGTTGTGACACAAAGTTACCTTATTATTCAGAATATATTTGAGGGATTGATATGGTACGTCTATTAAAAAAAAAAAAAAGAAAAAAAAACAATGTTAACACAACTGTTTGTGTGTACACTCTTATTTTACTTTACAAATACTTTCAGGTTTATTGTTCCCGTTAGTATGATTGTAATTAATGACGTAATGGCGTATATGTTCGGTTTCTTCTTTGGACGAACACCATTAATAAAATTATCTCCAAAGAAGACTTGGGAAGGTTTTATCGGTGGTGGTATTTCAACTGTTATACTCGGCTTATTGGTAATGTAATAGCGTAATTGTCAGTGGAAATAAGAATTTTTTTCTCTAAGCTAATGAAACGTTGGTTTTTAGATGTCGTATGTTATGTGTCAATACCGCTACTTTGTTTGTCCTATTGAGTACAGTGAGGCTTTAGGAAGAATGACTATGGATTGCGAACCGTCAAGTTTGTTCCAACCACAAGAATATACGTTGCCGAGCAGTCTTCAAGTAATATCCAAAATGGTATTGTTGACATAATCTTCTTACGTATGAAATGTTTAAATCACGTGTACGCGCGTGTCTGACACTGAGATATTTTTTAATGTGCGCAGATAAATGGAAAATCTACATTAACGTTATATCCATTTATCCTGCATTCGTTATCGATGTCAATATTCAGCTCTGTAATCGGACCATTTGGAGGCTTCTTTGCTAGCGGATTTAAGAGAGCGTTTAAAATTAAGGTACTTTGATAATATATGAAATTTATATACGCGATCTCTCTTTTATAATTGAACTAATATTTTAATTTACGGTACTCTCTTTACACAGGACTTCGGTGATGTAATTCCTGGTCACGGAGGAATAATGGACAGATTTGATTGTCAATATTTAATGGCGACATTTGTGAACGTTTATATTTCTTCGTTTATTCACACTGCGTCACCCCAGAAGCTATTGCAGCAGGTAATGAAAAAAGAAACTGCTTAAGTTTGAATAAATAAATTTTTTTTTTACATATCATTGCTTTTTAATTTTACTTTGATGAAAACAAGTTTTCATAAACACGTGTGTTTTTTTCACTAGGTCTATAGTCTGAAGCCAGAGCAACAATTACAACTTTACCAAACACTCAAGGAAACGTTGGAAGGCAGAGGCATGCTGGAAAGCAGAGAATGCTTGCTAAGTTAAATATATTTATATAGTAGCATTACACAAAAACTGCTGCAGAGATTTTTTGTACCTATTGGGTAAAAAATCTACTAAAGAAAAGATTTCCCTACTTATTATCTTTTCTACAATTTGAAAACAAATCGACAATGCAATTACAGTATCAAATACTTATAATAATTTGTTGAATTGTACAATAATTATTGAAGTTATTTTATAATAATTTATAGAAAGAGGTAAGTGTGTCGGAATGTATGATAGGCCTATCTAATTGAAACCTAAACCTGGCCAGATGGAATAAATATTTCTTCCTTTTTCTTATTTTTTAAATAAAAGTAAGGACGGAAGTATATTTCGATGTTAGAGATAAGTATTAGTTTTTACGTGTACGTCTTTACTTGGTTTTCCAGACTAGACTTTCGTATCGGTGTGAACGCGATAAAAAAAAAAACCGTGTAGAGATACTGGAATATATATTGGAATATATATTTTAAAAATCGTATAACCTACGCTACCTCTGTGATTAACATCTGGCCTACAAGAGTAATCAGTTGGATAGATCTATCATTAATTTAATTATTTTTTGCATTCCATATTGAACAGTCAAATTTCCATTCTGTGCAGTAGTTTATATTAAACTGTTATATGACACTGTTGGAGATTTTAGGACAAATAGTTTTGTCTAATAACCAAACCAAAGACAGTTGAGTTATAACATCCAACGTTGTACAACAGCATTTATACGTAAATTTTCCATTTTTTTTTTAAACCCCTGGGTATTGTATATTTATCGATTAGACGTTGCAAAACGTAGTAAGCCAAATATTATTTTTGTGAGAGCACTCTTTGTTTTTTTGCGCTTTTTTGTTTACAGATCTCAACTTCTACTACTTATAATCGCGTGCATTTAAAATTTAATGTGATTAAAATCGAATCTCGTTTGTATATACGCGTAAATAATTGGTTGTTTTTAATCTAGAATTGACATATTGAATTGTTAACAGTTCCATAAGTAAGTTTTGCTTTCTGACTGAGAAAAAAAAAACGCGTCCTTTTTATTAAGATTGTTGTATTGCTGCATAAAGGATGTTTTTTCATGAACTGAATATTATAAACGATATATTCTATGTAAAAAGTTAAACCAAAAGTCCTTTACAACAAAAGTGAGTATCTTATTGGCTAAATTATTGGTTAAATTAACTCAATGTCTCGGACGTTATTCGTAAGTTGAAAAAAAGAGGAAAGTTGATTCAAAACCTGTTTTTTTTAGCTTAATTTTTTACATAGATATGTATAACTTATACGATTTAATTTAGAAGAATCTTGTATGTGAAAATATAATTTACATAATTTGTCTACTGTGCATATATATTATCATGGATGTTGGATAAATGGTTCTACTTAGACATTTAGCATTATGCTTTTTTTCTTTTTTTTTGTTTTTTTGTAAATTTTTATCATCACCCAAAATCATGAATGCAAATGATGTAAATGATTCGAGTGGGATACTCTCGCCGCGCAACATCTATTCACGTGCTTTGATGCGAGATTCGAGACAGTCTTGTCAGCTCGCGTTTTGAAGAACGCGCTGGAAGAATTTGTGGATTTTTTTTGTATAAAATCATTTCACGTTGCTTTCGCGATCACAGTACTTACGTTGTACATAATAGTGCTGAATTTTGTCACGCTAAACTATCGCGATCTTTATACAAATATATGTATACTCCGTGATTAGCACACAATGTGTTGAAAAAGATGAGGAATACAAAAGAAAATGAAAATCATTCAGATTAAAATTCATTTCCGTGTATTAATCGCCGTCGATGCTTATGTCGACAAGGATGAAGTTAATAGAATTAATGTGGAAGTGGATTTGTGTCTGCCATGTTCGTGTATGTTAGTATGTAGAAAAAAAAACAAAAAAAACAAACAAACGATTCTTGTATATGTTGTATATGTGTGTGCGGTGTGCGGCGTATTGTATACTTGACAAGAGAAATCGGGATACCTGATGATAATCCTCTATTTTGCCTTACCATATATAGTACACGAAATTGTCATCCCAGATATCATATTTGAAAGAGCATGTTCTTGAGAATTATATGATTTCTCTATCCAAATGTTAATATATAATTAAAGTTAATTTATATATTTTTTCCGCGCTCCGAATGTCGTTCTAATACATCGCAATTTTGTGCCAATCTTGATGATTAGATATATTCTTATCTCAATCTTATCACGTGTATTGAATTGCTGTGGCACAATTTAAAAAAAAAAAAAAAAAAAAAAAAAAAAAAGTAGTTTCCTGCGAAAGAGTAGATTAATCAAAACACACAAGCGTTGTGAGTGTCTCTCAAATTTTGTTGAAGAACATTCACAGATCGAAGGCACACATGTGTAGTTCTTGAAAAATACTGTGACTATTTGGAATAGCACATAGTAAATAACTCTGTTGACATTTCTTTTGTTTTCCATCTAATGTTATTGTTGCTTGCGAATGTCGTCTCTGACTGCTGTGTTCTTTCCAAGACGTGTATTCCGTTGAAATCCGAGTGCAATAACACACATGTTATGTTTTTACGAAAACAGAGTATTTAGAAATACAAATGTGTATAACTAATTTAAAAGAGGCAAAAAGTTTTGTTACTTTGTTTTTATGTTTGTATGCGGAACATGTTTCTAGATAAACATAAAAAAACTTATTAGATATTAGATAACATCATGACAGATAAATGGACATATATATATATATAAATGTATATTTAATAGAAAAATTAAACATGAAAGATAAAAAATATATATATGTATAGATGGAAAAGTTTTATGTGAAAAGATGTGTTACAAAATATGTAAAATTTTGAATTCAAAGCAACTTTAACAACACTTTAAGTTTTAAAACATATGATATATATATATTTATGTAGCAACGTAAAGAAGAAAATAAATTATTGAAAAAAAAAAAAAATATCGATACTACTCTGTTTCCTCTCGCGCGTTGAGGAAATGACTAAACTTTCTGATAACATTTTCGCGCGCGATTAATAGTCCCTCTCACGTGACCGTGATTTAGATGCGCGGTTGTGACGGCAGAGGTCTCTGAAATATGTCGCTAGAAACGCAAGCGGGAGTTTCCGCTTGGTTTTCCTTCCTTGGTTTTCTCGGACGTTCGCGCTTTGTTCTTTTTCCGAACCGAAGACGACGAGTTCTCCCCGCAACGAGTAGAAAACTACTGAGATAGGACCCGTACGAGGTTCCTCGCGACGTTTATATTGAACGAGTCGACTTCCGCTCGATCGCCGCGAGAAACGTTTATAAACCAAGACACAGAGTCTTGTGCTAATTCTACGGGTGACGCCGGCCGCCTTGGAGCCTCGAAGACTCGAGATCTCCTAAGGCGTTTGTAAGCACGACCAAGGTAAGAAGGCTCACGAAGCCATTCCTAGAGTACAGATAGTTCGAAATAAAAAAAAAAAAAACACAGCCCAACCTTTATCTTGTAACTGAAATGCCATAACCTCCAATCCTAATTTTCTCGTTCAGTTTTGTGTTTTACGCTCTTGACGATGATTTCAGTAACGTCGACATCTTTATCGTTACCCGTCTAACCTCTACGCTCCGTTCCGTGGGCAAGATCTGCGCGAGATTCATTTTGTTTAGCGTATATCAATTATACACGTATACACCTATATATATATATATATATATATATGTATATATGTACTAAATAATGCAAAGCTTGAATCCTATAAGTTATTTTTCACCGTTTGTTACTGATTGAATTTATTACTAATTGAATATCGTTACTGCAATCATAGATAAATATTGAAAACTTTTATTGTCAGTTTCTATTACTCACACATACAACCTATTCTTCTCGACACTTTTGTCACGAAAAGTAATGTGTTTTCAATATAGTATTTTTATTAAAATTATATGGCAAAGTTTAATTCTGACTAAAATGAAAAGAAAGCATCAAAAGCATAAAGTATTATAAACGTGTATAAAATTTAATATTCATTTTTCTTCTCTGAAAAAAAAAAAAACAAAGTGTTGTGGCAAGAAAATTTTATTTTTTGAAACGCCGCTGCAATGCTGTTGCGTATATTTGATATAAACAGTTTTTTGCATACACATGTAGTGAATTATATTTTGCCAAAAAATACAATTGTCACATTACATTTGTAATATTTATAGGATATACCAGAGTAAACCTTTTTTTTTTGTTTTTTTTTATTCTTCACATTCTTGAACTTGCTCCCAGTCCTCTCCCGTTCTCTTTCTCTCTCCATAGGCACAAACAGCATTCTTTCAGGTTACGAGTTTGTTTGTTATAGTTTCTAGTGCAGTACAAAAAAAAAAAAAAAAAAAACGATTTGTGATTTATCGGTACTTTCTTAGTTTGTGTTGTGTTCAAGTTGAAAGTTTAAGTCGACATGAAAGTTCTACGCGAAGAAAAACCCGACAAAAAAAACAGTATGTATTATATATGTGACGCAGTTCTCAGTTTAAGTAATAAAGTATAAAAAGTTTTTAAATATACAAAAAAGTCGAAAGTTGTGATATAAAAAGTATGTACGACACGATATGGATCGCGCGCGTTGTGCCATCAAGAGTGAATATCTCACAGACTCTGATTGACACAGGTAAGCACTGCGATGCTATTGATGCTGATTTTTCAGTGGTACATTCGGTCAGTATGAAAAGAAAAAAAAACAGATTAATCTTGTCCTAGTAAGAGAGGAAGTTACAGCTTAAGATTTAATTCAAGACATTTTTCCCATTCTCGGTCTTCTAAAGGTGTTTACCGCGCTCAAATTTTATTTCATTGTTTTACAGGCTGAAATAGTTCGACATGTCCGACTCTGGTTCAGAAAGTAATTCCTCAGAGGGTTATGACGGTGGCAGGAATCGACTTAATGTCGCTGAAGAAGTTACGTCGTCACGTTATTCGCATCGTTCATCTGGTTCTGAACAACGAAAGTCCGCGGCGAGTTCCGTTTCATCCGGAGAAAAATCTCCTAGATCACTGTTATCAGATGGAGAATCTAAATCCGTGAAGTCTGCCCCAATGTCACCGAAGTCGCAACGATCCGAAATTATGTCTCCGGATCGAGATGGTGATCCAAATGACTCTCCGAGATCAATTCGTAGTTTATCGAAATCTCCATCACCGTCATCATCGTTACCGATGTCACCAGCGTCTCCGCCAGGTTCTCCACCAGAATCTCCGCCAGAATCCCCACCGGGATCGCCACCGGCGTCTCCACCGGCATCACCACCGGCGTCTCCACCGGCATCACCACCGGCATCACCGCCGGCATCATCACAGGGATCACCTCCGGCACTAGCACCCGCATCGCCACCGGCATCACCGAAATCTTACCGTTCGGGAAACAACTCTCTCGATTCACCCCGATCAGACAGATCGTATTCTCCGTTAGGACAGGACAACGGATCATGTCTTTCATCTGCAAACGGTTCCAAGTCGATGTCCTTCGGCGATACCGAATCTAAAGCGTCTGATATCGAGATGGATGCGCAAAGATCTGTTGATAACTCGTTGAAATCATATTCCTACAAGAACAGCGAATCCAGGCAGAGCTCACCGAAGTCTCCGAGATCAGGACCTAGTTCTGTAAAATCTTTGATTTCGGGAAGAAGTTCGCCGAAGTCGTTCAAATCCGGTCCAGCGTCTCCTATGGATGATCAGGAATCGGATAAAAATTCAGGTCCTCGTTCTCCGGAAGACGGAAAAAACGGTTCGTTCAATGAATTGGATGGCGAACAAATTTCGGACGGCGATATTGAGGACGAACCAGAAACCATGTCTAAGTCTATGCCTACACCTATAACTCACGGCGAGGATTTGTCGGATGTGTCGGATCTCGAAAGTATGGACGGTCACGAGGGATTCGCTGAGCCAAACGCGGAAATGAACAAGAATCAAGAAAAGGATGACAAGCAAGAGATCACACGCGATAAAGAAAATGCAGATAAAGAAGACAAAATTGCGCCGGTCGGCTTGGCAGAAGAAAGCGAGCAACTAGACTTCGAAGCCGATGGCCAATGGAAAGACGAGCGCGATGACGGTAATGCATTTCAAAAAATTGAAATCTCTAATTTTTATATTCAGAATTGCGGACATATTGCATTTTGAATGTAAGATTATAGCGGTTTTACACTGAGTTTTGATTTTTTTTCTAACCTTTTGTGTGCTTTCTTTCTTTTTTTTTTTTTTTAATATAATTAATCACATTACAGGTGAAACTGAAGTATCAGGTGCAAAAGAAACTAAAGAGGAAAATGACAAAGATAATAAAGACAAGACAAAGTCGAAAGAATCCGGTCAAACGAACGATAAAGAAGAAGGTGAAGAGGGAGAAAAAGAAGAATCTGAATTAGAGGAAGGAGAGCTTAGCGACGGAGACGACGCACGGCCGGAGGAGACCGAGCCGAGACCCGTGTGTCGTTTCTACAATCGCGGTCAGTGCACTTGGGGCGTTAGCTGTAGATTTTTGCATCCAGGTGTGACAGACAAAGGTAACTACACTATGTTCGATATGGTGAGACCAATGGCGTACCCACCGCACGCTTCCGCGCCGCACGAATACAGATCGCACGTCGACAGATCGAATATTCGATCGATGCCCGGTTACGGTGCGCCTGCTCCCGCGCCCAAGGTCGAGGAAACGCCAACAGAGTCCGCGTGGGAGCGCGGACTGCGCCATGCTAAGGAAGTAAGTTATTTAACAAAGTGTATTCTTGTATTGCGTTCTATATTGTTTGGAATATGGACATAAAAAATCTCAAGAGTCTCGAGTTTAAAAAGAACATCCTTTAATTAGATGATGCGTAAAGCTAATAAACGCAAAGAATCAGACATGGACTTCGAAGAAAAGAAGATGAACTTGAGCTTGGGACAGGATGAACTGGACCGAGAAGCAGGATATTACGTGAGACCGGCTAGTCCCGAACCACCAGTTGAAAGATGGCCAGAAAGAGAAATACCGCGAAGAGTACCACCGTCTAGAATTACTCCAGAGAGGTACATAGAAGAGCCTGAGGGATATTATCCACCACCTTCGTCATCTGAGTATTATAGGTGAGACATATGGTTCAAGTCCTGAACAGAAGTGATGTTCAAGTTCTATTGCGGCAATTACGCAAAACACTTGATCATTTTTGCGTTTATGTTCATAATAAATTTTATCGGTACGCTTTCGCCTTTTAGGAGAGTTCATTATAAAGAGTCTCGTGACTATCGAGAGCGTGTCGATTATCACGCAATTCCTCGTGGTGCACATTCGGTTTCTCCGCCGATGCACAGTCGCGAGCGAGACAGAGAACGGGATCGCGAACGCGACAGGGAACGAGATTACTATGAGAAGTACGAGAAGAAGCACAAACGGCCGTCTCGGGAAGTCATCGTGGAACGTATTCCACCAACAAAGTCTTGGCGAGAAGAGGAACCACCTCCCGTGGAAAGGGGCAGAGGTGACGAATGGGCGGATCCGTGGATGCGTCGCAAATCTCCGAGTACCGTACGACGCCAGGCGTCAACCCACCGATCCCGTCGACAATCGTATTCTTCAGGATCCTCGTATTCTTCGACAAGGTACCATTCGCATTTGTAAGCAGTTTTATTATTTCACAATATTTACTCAAATGTCTCAGAGCGCACGTTTATTTTTTTTGTTTATTAATGAAGTATTCCGTTAAACAGTACGAAAAATAAAGACGGGTAGTGAATAACACCTAATGCATAAATAAACAGGGACTATGTACATAAGCGAACGAGTCGGGAAAAAGTCAATACGAGTTTTAAAAAATGTGTTCAAACGTTTTTATTAAAAAAGAAAGATTATCTTAAAAATAAATTCTACGATATGTTTCGCGATACCAACTCTTGCAAATTTTGTTGTATCTTTATCACATTAGGTTCAGTCTAATATTACATACATATACATTTATATATATATATACATATGTATATTTAATTCGAATAATTGAGCGTATGTAAATTTATGCACTTTGTTTACGTAAACAAATGTATAGAGAATTATTATCTGTTTAGTTCTAGCCGTAGCTCAAGCAGATCTAGCTACAGTTCTTACGACTCCCTCTCCAGGTCTCGTTCCCCCTCACCTCGATCCCGAACCCGATCCTCCGGCAAAAACAGATCCGCCGTTCTCACATCATCACCCTCGAATACTCCGGTTGTTCCCGCCGCACCTCAACGAGGTGCTATGTTAATGAATCCCCCCGCACCATCTCCCCGCCCACCTAAAGGTTCTATTTCCCCTACAACTGGAACGCTACATCGACGAGCTGGTTTGAATCCACCCGCTCCGAGCCCGGTCTCGTCTCATCAACGTCATCATGAGAAAGCTCGAGAACAAAAGGCCGCTATGGCTGCAGCTGCTGTCGCCAAGATCATCAAAAGTCGTTCCAGATCTAGGTGAGAAAAATTCAATTTTTAATTTATAAGTAACACCGAAATTTTACACACATATACACGCGCACACACAAATACACGTATGTGTTTTTTAAAATAAAAATATTAAGTATATAAGTTTTACAAATTTTAATTCTTATATTTTTTTATGCGTTTCTCAATTTAGTTTACGTAAAGACGATAAAAAAACTTTATTTAGGTCGTCCCACAGTAGTTCGGGATCGGAAAGCAGTGGGAGTAGCAGCGACTCGAGCGAATCAAGTTACTCGTCGTCGTCCAGCGAAGTACGTAAGAGAAAAGGCTCGACACCGCCGTTACCGCGCAAAGAGTCGAAGGGCATCGACGCTTTGAAATTGAGCGGCACGAAGCAGCAAATCAAACTTACGTTGAAACCAACGAGCAATACAACGGTAAAGAAGATCGAGCGCAACGCAATTGTTGCAGGTAAAAAGCGCGGTCTGGAATCACCACCGTTAATCGACAGCAAGGCTCAAGTAGCTGCGGCGGCGGTTAAAGCCGCCAAAAAGGCAAGCTCACGTCGCGAGGAGTTGTTAAAACAATTGAAAGCCGTGGAAGATGCAATTGCACGCAAAAGATCGAAGGTTTAAAAACTTGCTTGAGTATTTACAAATGTTCTTCATAAGCAGGTAAATACGTACCAATCAAGTGTTTCTAGACATGTACAATTAATTAAACATCACTATCGCGAAATAACGAATCGTATATGACATGCCTGTGATGGTATAAATCATTAGAAAATCATTAGAAAATGTTCCCATTTTTTATTACAATACAAACATTCGCAATACATTTTTATCAGAGTTTGTCAGAGTTTGTCAGAGTTCTCTTTCTTTCTTCACAAACGTTCACTTTCTTTCAATATTCACGTCCTTCCTTTAGAGAAATCATAATTTCTACTTTTAGTTCCACTTATATTGCGAGAAAAAATACGCTTAAATATATATATATATATATATACATATATATAAATCTTTCTTTTTTTTGTTTTTCATAAAACAAGCGATCTAAAACAGATGGTGCTATCATTTTCAGTTGTACAAGACAAAATGTCTCTTCACCGAGAATTACAAACGAAAAATAACAGTTTTATTATATCTCTGTGAATGTGTGTAATACACCATAGGATATATATATATAAACATTCTGGTTTAGAAGTTTTAGATCACATATGTATATGTATAAATTTGTATACATATATATTATACATATATGTTCTTACATTTACATGTACTTTAGTGTCAGCTGTTTTTCGAAGCAAAAAAAAAAAAAAACAAAGATGGTGTCATTTCGAGATACAATAAGTCAAAACAAAAACAAACAACTTTCTTGGTGTTTACTGCAATAGCACAGAAGCGCTACACGAACGATCAGCAATATCCGAAAATAGAAATACGCCTAACAATGTGAAGAGTAATAAAAAAAAAAAAAAAAAAATGAAACAAAAAAACAAGTAGGAAGAGTGTGTAAAGTACTTGTAAATGCAGCGATTAATTAACTATGCGTAAGAAAGAAAGAAAGATTTTTCATGACAGAAAAAAATCATATATATATTTTGTACTTTTTCTCTGTGTATAAATATAATATGGCGTATGTATATTAGGCTGTGCGCTACTCTTTCATGTCGGCAAAAACATGTCCTGTTAACTTAAGAAACAAACACTTTGTTAAAGACACAGACTTTTATTAAATATAAATATAAGTTACAACAAAACATCCCAATTATCGAAAGACATAAAATTTAAGTAACTTTTTGAATCAATATGATTAAATAACTTATATATATATATATAAATTAAATTACTTATTAAATAACATATATAAATTTGTATAACAATCCATACACAAGCGTCGCCGATAAAAAACCGGACGTATGTTTTTCTTTTTCTTATCCCATAAGTACAAACGCAAACCTACTTTCCCCAATCTAGTTTATATTATTTTAAAGTTTATATATATTTATTTTTTTAACGCGCGATCACCCGAATCTTAAATTTGAAAATACACATCTCAATGCACACACGCGTCTGTAATGTAAAGAAGAAGCGTACTATTACGTAAAAGCCAAGGAAGGCTACGTATATATCGCGATCAGAGTTTTTTTTTTTTCTCAAATCAAGAAAAACTATTGCGTTACATTTGTACACGTCTCCGATGCGATGCGATATATCTGTATTTAAATCGAGAAGAACCGATGTAGTTGAAGATCTTCAAGATCAGATATTTTCTATATTACACATTCCGCATCTCCGCTCTCGACGCAACCAATTGTTTAAAACTATTGGAAATCGTATGAAATATACGATTATTACCGATTGTGAACATTTATATAAAATATCACATTCAGATATTAATCCAAATGTTCGAACCTTGGGTGAAAAGAGGGCGGTTGACCGGTGCCGTTAAAAGTGGTACGTCTCGGTCTGCTGGCGCTGCCGCTCGTCTCCGGGATTATTTTTGTGTCATTGTTGTATCTGAAGATACCGTCTCCGGGTGCTAGCAACGTGCTTTTCGGCAGCTTGTACCACCACCGGTACGTGATGTACCACGTAATGATCGCGGCTATGCCACCGAGAAACTTTTCGATCATGATGTGATAATAAAGCACCGTCGATACCAGCATAATGTCCCACAATAACTGCTGCAACGTCATCGCGACGAAGAGTCCGCGCAAATACGGCGTGAGAGCCCGATGCGCTTTCTTCAGAAACTCCAGATCGCCGTCGGACAGATTTCGCAGCGGACTGGTACTGGTCTCGGTTGTTGTACGCGTGTGCTCCTCGTTCATAACCAGATCCTTGATACCCTCCCATCCCACCAAAGATGTGCCTTCCTCGGCGAGTATCAAACTGGAATAGATCAAAATAAACGTGTGGCCGGATATGTCGAGCCCGCTCCAGAATCTACCCGATTGCAGACACTTCGTCTTCGTCTGCAAATGGATGTCGCGAGTGTTCAGACATCTCCCGAAGTTGGTCTCGATGTAAGTGAACAGCTTCGTCCAAGTGAGCCAGGCAAAGGTGGCGATTGCGATGCGAGCCAGATGTCTCAGCAGAACCGGTCGGCGGCCGCAACCCAGTGTGTGGGCCGTCAGTGTGACCCAGGGAACGACCACCGACAGCAGCCAGCCCCAACCCCATTTGACGAAATACTGATTGAGCGCGTTGTCGGATCTGGAGAAGTAAGTACGCGGAAGCGCGAAGAAGTCCGTTATGAGGGAGATGGTGAATATCACGGCACAGTAGATGGCCACCTTTAGCCGGGTGTCGAACAGCAGCGACTTTTTGCACAGATGCAGCAGCATGGTGACGAGGATGAGACCAATCGAGCTCGGCGCCGCTGTCGGTCGGGTGCCGCCACGGTCCTCCTGTTGCGCGGAACTCGGCCGAAAGTTCATGCGACTCGAACGCGCACCGCTGCCAGACGTATTGGTGTTGCCAGTTGAGGAATGAATGCTTCGTCGTTTGGTCGCCGCCATCTCGCGCCTCGAGAACTTTCACTCTCTTCTCCCGAGATTATTCAGTTTTATCTTATCGGTCGTATCCTAAGGGCATTGCACTGGATTTAACAATCTTATAGGTTAGGATTAATCATCAAACTCTCGTTCTGGGAGTTTGCCAACGCACGGCGCACTACTTGCTCCAAATCTGCTCGTCACCCGAGTTGCCGTACTCACGGAAATTGTGCCTCGTCATCCGTTAGTTAACTTTCTCCCCTCTTCACGCCGCATTATACACGCCATGAAAATGTTCTTTGCCCCTCCGAGCGCGACGAGTTCCTGGCTTTTGTGTGTCGTGCGTCGAGATACAACAGCCGTGACGACGTCCAGCCATGTGCGGCCACGACGTCGATACTCGCGATCATGCTTAACTGTTGAGCTATTATATATATATATATAGGCCTACTTGCTCTTGCAGTTTTATGAAACATATACGTACATATATATACTTACAATTGTACATTTTACGCGTGATCGAAATATTTTTCGATAGATCTCGCATTTGTGCGTGTGCGAATAATTCGTAAAAACAAAACAAAAAAAAAACAAATTTATTTAAAAAACTGCAATCGTCAAACATCAAAAATTTTGCAAACCGCTGCAAAATTTTTTTATTAATAATTAATCATTACATAATTCTCTCAGAGAGAAATGCGCACGTCGCGCGTGAGAAATCAAAATGCAATTCGTCCGCGAAGACGCCAGAGGGCGCGCGTCGTAGCTGTGCGTCCCGTGCGCATGTAATCGTGCCGTAGATCCATTCGCAACGGTCGAACGTCGTCGTTTCGAAACGCGGCCAGTATGTTCGCCGCGCTTACGTCGAGAGACGCGTAACAACAATACGATATTGTTAAGATTTACGCGCACTCTTCTTCTCTCCGATTCTCTCCGTGTTTGGGTCAAAAACGTGTCGGGGCGTTTCGCGATCTCGTTTTTCTTTTTTTTTTTGTCAATTTTCACGCGCTTCAAGGACGTGTGCGTAAAGAAGTAGCGATAATCAACAGGATACGCAGCCGCGAGAGAAGGAGAGAGGGAGAGAGAGAGAGAGAAAAAAACGCCGAGAGGAACACACGCCGGCACGTCGAAGCGAAGCTCGTTCAGAGCGATCTCGCGCACGGATTTCGATCGAGTTCCCAGACATTTGGGAAAAGAACGTCGGTGGAAGAGCGGAAGAAGAAAAGCGCGACGCGTCGAAAGAACGGAGAAGAAACGGAGCAGTAACAGGTGGAAAACGATTATCACAGGTATGTATGTATGTGTGTGTGTACGTGTGTGTGTATTTCGCACGATTCTTCTCGACGCGGTCTTCTCTTCACGTGCTGAAAACTCGCGACAAATTTATATTTCGCTCGCGCGTTTTTTTTCTCTCTCGTGTATTTTCGCCGTTCCGCGTTTGATTACACACGCGAACATTTTTTCCACGCGATTGACGCGCCCGTCTTCGACGCGACGTGCGTGGCCGGTCGATAAGTAAGCTGTTACGCCGATTTACTTTTGACGCGTGTGTATTACTTACACACGCCTGCGTTCTTCTATCTTACGTCCTTTTCTCTCACTCACCTGAGAAACAGTATACGCGCGCGGGGCGTAGTTCCGTCGATTATAGACCGTACACGCGAGAGTGTGGTAATGAATGAACGCGAGCTGAAACTTTTGACAGAGCCGCGCATACAAGGGACACGGGTGGTTGTCTCATCGTTGTCGCGTAAAATCGATCGAAGAGAAGAACTCGGACTCGAAAAAATTCGTGTGTGAAAAAACAAATCCGCGTTTCTTCAGCATAATATCCTTCAATCGAGTTTCGGATTTCTTGTTATATTCCGTTCAAGTGTGCGCACTACTAAATTTAACGTACGCGTATCTCGTATACGGAGGCTCTACCCACATACGATTTACATTTAATTCACACACTCTCTGCCCGCGATACGTTTTCTTCCTGTGATATACTTGCGTACGTGATATCTCTTTCTTTTCCTAGATGATTACAATATACACATAATTAATATTTATACACTATATATTTATATATATATATATATATATATATATAGAATTTTTAATATAGATTGAACGTGTGTTAAATATATTTTTAATTAACAGTTTTTTTGTAACACGTGAAAAATGAGAACCGCTAAATCTACTAAAAACGTTATTTTGAGTGTGAAAAAATGTTAAAAATAATACATACGTATTAAATATAGATTATATTTAAAATGTATTTAATATATGTTAAGTAGTCTATAAGTACATATATTAAATATATATAGATCATATTCTGTTTTATCCGTTTGTTTTTTTAGCTCTGAAACAACACTATTTGAGTAATATCTTAACGATAAAAAAATTACTTTATAATATACAATTTCAGATAATTCGTCACCGCGACCGTGTGCTTTTATAGATTATAAATATATTTCTTTTTTGACGTAACAAATTACGGCGCGGATAAAGTATCGAAAATCAAAATCCACCGTTTCGTCGCACCGAATCGTCTTCAGATCTGCCGTACAGGTATACTGTATACAAATTAAATGGGAACATTTTATTTCATTCTCTTCTTTCCTGCGTATGTGGGAGGATTTCACGACCACGTGTACCCTACGTACGGGACCGCGCCTCGCGAACTGTCACTATCTATTTCCAGTAGTGGGATGATGACCTCACATCGCGAGATTAAGTAATTTCTGTAGCATGCGTCTTGAATGACATAATATCGCATAATACGCCGCGATCTACCATTCGAATCTCAGGTTTAACAAGAAGAAGCGTCTGCGATAAAACGCTTGGATGGCACGCTTTTACTTTTACATCACGATGACGTTATTGTGTAGTAAAACCGAGAGAATTCAAACGAGGCGTGTAAGAGTCAACGCGGATTTTTTACTTCGGCGTGCGAGAAGTAATGGAAGTTGGAAACTAATTTTTAAAGTAATTATTTACGCGAATGTGCGCGCGTAATCTCTCTCACTCGTAAAATATAAATATATGTTGCGTAACACACGTTAAATTTGAATAATAAAAAAGTTTAATTAAATTAATTAATTAATAATAAAACACAATATTTTAATAAAATGGAACACATGTTATATGTAATGTCATGGTTCGATTCAAGTTGAATCAAATGTGTATCGTGTTGTTTTTCGGGATTGCGGATTTTGTTATTACAGTAGTTTTTAGAAATAATTTTAGTGAAAAAAAATATCTCCCCGAGGTCCTCTGTGACCAGACGCGCATCGATCTCCGCTGTTATCGTCGACGCAAACGCCTTTTCACGCTGTTTACGCCTGCACGATAGAGTTCTCGTAATCGACCCGGGCGATATTTTATCTTTCGTTAGTCTTTGGCGTACAAATTACGGCGAATCAATTTCCTCCTCCGCTTAAAGTTTTAAGTGAAGTCTCAAGTAAAACAGGAAATTAATTATTAATGATAGATTAATTTAGATAGAAAATTGTGTTGACAAGAGCGAAGAACCACGTGTTCAGATAGAACGTGCATGTATGCGTCATTTCGATAAATCAATGTTTGGGGAGAATAAGTTACTGACAAATATTACCGTCGACCATTGAAGAAAAAAATGTATAATTTATATTATAGATATGTTTGTTGTTTATGAGTATCGCTCGCGTTGTAACCGGTTCATTTCCGCGTTGCTTTCTTTTAAATCCGTTATTTCGTACAAAGTTATCAGAAAAATTTTTATTTCGAGTGTATTACACCAGTAAATTTTGTAGATTTTTAGTTCGTACTCTCATTTGCATAAGGCGATCGATGTCCGTTCGACGCGCCATTGCGAAGAATTTGTCGTTATTATCGCGACCGAATCACGACGAGGACACGTAAAAGTCAGCGCGCAAACATTCGCAAACCGTAACCGTTGCGTTTCTTCGTTGCGTTTTAGATTAATCGAAGACGATGGATCAAGGCTTCCCTTCCCAACACACCACCACGACCACCGTGACGACCACTACAACGACCACTCAGCCCAATATACGATTCGATCCGTCTTACGTGAGGACGGTGCCTGGTCTTTTAAAAGTTGTTCAAGTGGTGAGTTCTGTAGACGTGGATTTTTTTATAATTGTTTTTTTTTTTTTTTTTTTTTAAATATTTAATACGTAGCGTTTGATATTATCTTCAGTAAAACAATTACTTTGTGTATTAAAAAATATCCATTTCTATATCGTAAATGATGATTTACGAACGTCTGATTGCGTCTCGTATTATAATGGATCTCTTGATCTCAGATTGGTTGCAGGAACTATTGTGCACAGAGTATAATTGCACCCGTCTCTCTAGCCGCGTAACACAGTTTCGAGAATGATAATCAAAGTGAACGATAATCACGGTGGGATTCTTCATCCTTCTTTTTCAGGTGTTGAATCTCTTGGGATTTATTTGCGTGACAGTGTCGACATTCAGCAGTCACAGCCGAGGAGGATGGTTCAACACAGTGGCCATGATTGGCTTCTGGTTCACAGGAATCCTGCTCGTCCTGTACTGCTTCCACATCATCGAGAAGTTCTCCAGGATTCCCTGGTTGAAAATTGTAAGTCGCGTTCCGAAACTCTGATTGATTTCTATCTTTAAGTTGCGTTTTAGTTTTCATTTGTTTCTCATTTCATTCGCATGGAGAAGTACGCTTGTGAAATAGACGTGTAAGTAGAAGCAAGAGAGCAGGTTGTGTATTCGATAACACGGATATACGCGTGTGATAAAATATATAGAAGAGCGCGTGGAGTGAAAGCACGTTAGAAAGTTTCCACGGGCGACGCACGCACAAATCCTAAAAAATTAATCTGCCGTACTTGTACACACATGCGCGATTTTTTTTATTCACGGGTGAGCGATCGATCGCGAACAAAAATACATAACGAATATAAGGGCGATATGATGAAGTATAATCGTCGCTCGGTTTTGACATTTGCGTTTTGGTTTTTTGTAATATATTATTAATTGAATTAAAAAATTAAATTATACAGACGTGAGATGGGTTCCAAAATGTTAAATTCAAAGAGTTATATAAGTGTGGAGCCAATTAAGAGCCGACGCTGAATGTAAAAATATTAATTTAAAATAGATGATCTTTAGACCAATGTTTAGGTCCTTTTCAGTGGTTAAATAAATTGTAGTTGATCTTACGTAGCTAACGTTGACAGGTTGTTTCAAGATGGCGTCAACAAAAAGTAGAAAACTATACGTCTGCGAATAATAAATTTGCACAAATTAAAGAATGAATCTGATTATCAGTTAAAAAAAAACAGTAAGAATATAATGAGTTATGGATAAAAGATTACCTGTCTGTTTTTAAATGAGCAAACTTCTTTATTTAACTTGCCTTGTCAGGATCAAGTTAAAATATTTGTGTAATGTGACAAATTGAGTGGATAGAAAATTTGTGTTTTAAATTTGTGTCGAAATTTAAACCAAACGTCACATCATCGACAGGATCAAGTTAAAATATTTGTGTAATGTGACAAATTGAGTGGATAGAAAATTTGTGTTTTAAATTTGTGTCGAAATTTAAACCAAACGTCACATCATCGAGATTGTCTAAAAAAAAATTAGAAAATTAAAATCAAAACCGAAAATTTACTTAAGATTATAAATTTTGTCGAAGAAGTATATATTCTCATTTTTAAGCGCTACCTGAGTAGCCCAGCCACGTTTGGCGAATCTTTAATCACTGTCGACCGAAAATGCTATTCGCGTGTTGCAACATGTAAATTATATTTTCAGGAATTTGTGTTTTGCACGATATGGACGGTGTTTTACTTACTGGCCGCTTCCCTCGTGGCCGACTACTCGCGTTACACGGAAGCTTTTGGCGTAGCAGCGGTAAGAATTTTTTGATACACATTTATATTATTTTCTGACGTTTCGGAAAATCACGAACGCCAACTGTGTGAAAATAAAAAGAGACACTTTGTGATTCGCTTTATAGAAAGAAATCTATAAACTAAGAAACGTGTTTTCTTGTATAGTTTTTCGGATTTTGCGCGATGGTGGTGTACGGCTATGATGCTTGGCTCAAGTTCAACGCGGTGAAGAGCGGAGCGTTGGCACAGGGCCAGCAAGCGCCGAAACAAATGTCCACCGTCACCAGCCCGGCGTATTAAAGGAAGGAAGACAGAAGACAGATGGACCACCGGTTGATCGGTTCAACTGTTCGTTCGATCGATCAACACATATCGTTACCTTAGTGTGTGGGGCCAGCCGATTTTGTAACTTGGGCGCGCATTTCTGTTTTTTGCATGTGTTCTCGCGCGAAACGTTTCCCTTTCTCCCCGTTCCGACGATTTTTCGTTCAATCGCACGTATGCGTACGTGCGTGCGTGCGTAGACACATTGAATCTCACTCACGTAAACTCAAACATTCTCTTTTGTTTCTTACATTTGTATTTTGTAACAAAGCAATATAACATATGGAATCTTTACTAACGTTACGACGCGTTCCCGTTAACTTTATATGCTCTACTAACAAAAAAAAAGAGATAACGCGCCTTTTCTCTCTCGCGCCGCGCGTTGTTTCTTGTCAAACAACGATGATTGTTAATATTTTGTAATAAATGTTTGCCGCCGTCTTTACTTTTGATCGCGACTTGTTACTTATATATATATATATATACATATATATGCGACGATACATGTGTATATCTTTATATATGCGCAAGATAAATCTGTAAACGTTGTTGAACCCATGTCTTAAGATATTGTTGGAACCGAGGTGATGCTTTTTAAGCATCGCGGTGCAGCGATGTGAAGTCGAATGCCGCGATGAGAGAGTGTTAGATCTATTTTAATCTGCTCGGTCCTTGTTCGCAACTGACTTGGCTACCTGAATCTTGTTTTCTCGATCATTGTTTTCGACAGAGTTCAACAGTTTCCTCAACAAAGCGATATTTTCGATATTTCGTTTAATCTCAATCTTCAAAAATTCATTCTTGACACACAGACGAATTTGAACATAAAAAAAGTTGAATAATCAACTTTAGTGAAAAGTAAAGTGTTTGTTAAAATATATTTATTTCTACACGAAATGAGCTGCAAGATTCGCGGTCGTTTGCAAGCAAGGACGAAATTTCCAAAACTAAAGTATCGAAACACTAGGAATTACTTCTTCTCGTCGTGCTTGTTATTTTAGATTTTTATCGTAGAGAGAGAGAGAGAGGGGTCATAATTGATACGAGAATACATTGTAGTACGATCAAGTAGTATCCAGCTCTCGAGTCATCTTATTGACTCACGAACATATCTATTGCATACGTCATCGCATGTTATATCACGCGTAATCTCACGCGATGACAATTACTCTCTGATCGTCTGTCACGGGCGAGAATAATTTGTTACATAGAATATATCATACTCGCTGTTGCGATTTGCGTGAGATATATACATATATATATATTATATATATATATTTATTAGTTTTGTTATTCATCTCTAAAGATCTATAACAGTATGTACAACGATATATATAGGATCGCTACACTTGTATATCTGTGTCTATTTAAGAATCCGATCTTACAGAAAGATCTTAAAACGATCTGGATATTATTATATGCATAATAACGATCGAAAAAAAAAAAAAAAAAGACGGAAAATAAAACGTCGGCATCAAAGCGCGTCACAAATACATATTCAACGAAATGCTCGTTGATCGCTGTTCGTTGTGAACGAATCTTTTTCGCGCGACGGGGAACAAAATCTCTCAAAGTGACGTTATCGTGTTTTTAACGTATTGCCAATATCGGAAGGATGTGTCGGAATTAAAATCAGGAATTATTTTGGGAAATGTATTTTAATTTCCAAATAAAGAAAAAATTAGGCGACCCCGTTATCTAAACGGGGAAAAACATTATTTCTCTGATTGCTTCATTTGTTCGATCATTGATGAAATACCGTTCAGTCTTGAACTGTCCCGATACCGCACGACGAACACTGACGAAAACAAATTTATATTAATTGTTTCTGTAGTTCAGTATTATTGTGCATAATAAGCTAAATTGTAAAAGATTACTCTTTTTTCTTTTTAGCGAAGGATACGATAATTATTTTATATTATTATTTCACGTTTGTGTATGATGTGACAAATATTGTACTAATTTCTTGGATTATAATTAACTTATTTATTACAACTCTAATTTATATATTATATATATACACTATGGATATTATTGTGTGTATGCGAGCGTATGTAATCTTACATGTGTGTATGTAATCTTACATGAGAGTTACAATACGTATTATTGGTATTGCTATAATATCTCGATATCTCTTAACTTATTTTTTATCAAATTTACTCTTACAAAAAAAAAAAAAAAACAAAAACATGAATGATCTCATGAAATTTATAAGATGCAAGTGCGACGAGGAGATAATGGCGAGTATGTGTAAAGTATGCGCGAATCAATCTGCGCTCTTAATTTCTGTACTGAAACTGCGGTCGACGCGCTTGCTTTTTGCCCATCGACGAGAGATCGATGGTCTTCCCGTCCGGAAGCACCAGCTTGTTCTCCTGATAGTCGACGAAGCCATTCTCCTCGTCCTCCTCTCGTTGCTCCTCGTCGCACTTGATTCCGGTCTCGTACGTGTACTCGCGTCGAATACCGTCCGGATCGATGTATCCGTACTTGCCGCTCGTTATGCAATCGACACCGATCGTCTCCTCCTTGTACGATCCGTCATCGTTCTCGAAACCCCACGTGATGGAACCGTCGTCATTGTCGTGCCGATATCTCCTAATGATCTATAAGAAACACGTACACTCGCTTAAGAACTTTCTCCGTAAAAGAAAACACTTCGCGCGTTTCGAGCGATTCCGCGCGGTTCGCACATTTGCGTGATCGCAAATTCGACGGCGATAATCAAGATTCGATTAATGAACACGTTAAGAGACACCGCGTGTCATTTTTACAAATTCGACCGGAGGACGTTACGTAACGTTCGCGCGAACAGGTTTCTCGGATCCCCCGAACGTTTATGAGTTACCGAGTTATCTCGGGGTGCGCGAACAAAAACGAACACAACGATGTCAGATAGATTCCGGCTTTCACCTTACGGTTTCAAAACTCTTGAATCAATTTTTTCTTTCTTCACGCGCTCGTTTCCAGCGTACAATGAGCTATCGAAATATTATTCTTCGCGGGAGAGAAACGAAATTTTCCGAGAAATTATCTTAATATTATTTTTGACATTACACGAACGTATTGATCGTAATGATCGCGTAATGATAATTGCACCAAATTACTCGGTTTAAATTAGAGTGAGACTTTTTATCTTCGCGATTTTATGAAGATTGCTCGGGTAATACAATGGATACCCACCTGCGCTACTGGTTTTTTGCCGCGAATTTCGTAATCTTGGGACGGCTTCAGCGGCTTTGGCGGCGGCGCTTTGATCGGCTGTCTGTACGCTATGTCGTCGACAATTTGCTTCCTCGGAGCCTTTGTTGGCTTCTGCGTAGGTCGGTACTGAATTGGCGGCGGCGGCGGCGGTGGCGGAGGTGTTGCGGGACTTCCCCGGACGCTTGTCGGTGTCACCGCTTGAGGCGGCCGATAAACTATCGGTCCGGGAGCCGCTGACGAGATACGCGACACAGGACTCGGCGATGTACGCGGCACCTCCTCGCTCACCTCCTCTTCGCTGTTCGGTTCCTGGCTCTGATCGCGAGAATCCTCGATGTCGCCGTGCTCGCGCGGTATGTCATCCTCCTCGGTGTCCTCGTTCACCGGCTTCACTTGATGAACGAAAGGAGGAGGCGCGGCGACCGGAAGATTCGGTCGGACGGGACGGAACGTGCCGGGCGCATCGTCTCCGGGGCCTCGCGGTCTAAAATTTTATCATCCCTTTTAATTCAATACACAACACACCGAACAAACGCGCGTTATGATCAGGACGTACTTGCAACTATTCCCCTCTTTTCAAGAACTCTTCTGGTTTAATTTTTTGTTTTCAAAGTTACACGAATTGTACGTCAATGTTGCGTAATTCTCAAATATGTGGTCTCGCGTTTCCTGCTCGGTGCAACGTTCGCGGACGTTACGCAGACCCGGATTTGTCCGTTAGGCCAATTAACATTGCGGTTTATTTTGCACCTCATAGATAGATAGATATGCGCTCACCGCCCAAACTGGTTTTTCCAGCCTTTCCAATAGCTCGGGCAACTTTTAAAAGTGAATTACGGAGACTTTTAGCGTGCAATTATATTCGTATTTCGCATAACTGAATTTTTCAACAAGGTCACGTTTCGTTCGAACGTATCGCGTCGGAGAAAGACGCGATTCAACTTTTTTTTTTATGAATGAAGAATTTTTTTTGAACAAAGTATAAGATATTAATTTCACTTCATATTCGTATTTTTTGAAAATTAATTAAAAGACAAATTTGAAAAGTAAAAACATTTATAAAAATTATACATAAGATACATAAATGCAATATCGATGTTATCACCTGAAAGCGATCGGTCGTCGAAGTCGATTGGGTTGATTGGGTTGATTGGGAAAAACGGCCGGCGATCCGGGGCTTGGTCGCGGGGGTGCCGGCAATTTCTGATAGCGCGCCGATCGTATTGGGATCGGTATTGGTCTGTGCCCGTCTGGAAACTGCGCCGAGCAGAGCGCGACGACGCACGCCAGCAACTGCAAAACAAAAGCTTTCTTAAAAATCGCAATCACGCTCGACGATTGACTTTCAACTGATAAATTTCCATAGAGCCGTGACATCCATCCACAATCGCGCGCTAAGAGAGTTTTGCCGGCGATTTAATCAATGAACCGCATAATGAACAAGCGCGGCAAAATTTATTTGTCACGCCTTGCGTGTGTGTAACGTGTTACTACAAACTCCACGTTCCAGATCGCGCGGTGTGTGTACATACAACATTCTCTTGGTTTGAGCTCATTGCAAACACGACGGGTATGAATTACACATGCAAAAATCGGTCGCGTCGCGCGAGAGGAGAAAAGAGAAAGTGATTCGATTCCCGACAAGAGGGTCGGTCTCTCAAGTCACATCGGCGCAACGCACATTCCCTCGATTCTGGTATACGAGCAAATCACGTAATCGCATAATCGATATGACATTTAAACACCGACCCCGCCGAGGACGGGAAGTGTGACAAGTAGAAGGACATTAGCGCACTTAGCGCGTCACGCTTTTTAAAAAAAAAAACTCGCGGCAGAAATACGTGTTCAAAACCCACAGTGCGGGGATTAAAATAACTGCCTATTAGTTCCTTCACTTTCATCGGGTTGTTTCGCTTTTTTTTTTTTTTTTTTTTATCAATTTCCTCGTTAGTTTTATTACCGAGAGCTCGTTATGTGAGGAAAAAAAAATACAAATTTTGCAATTAATCTGTTGCGTTAATAAAAGCGCGCGCGCTTGTGAAAAACCGGGAGAATCCCGTTATGTGTTGTCCATATTTTTTCCGCCATTGCCGTAACGCCGTTTATTCGCGCGCGTTTTCAATCTTCTCCTTTTCTTCTCTCAAGTGTCGCAAAGATGCGTGTGATTTTTCTTTTTCTTTTTTATATCGACTCGATATTTTTTTTAGCGGATATAAAGCTGATATAAAAATTTATATTAAAGGCTCGTGTAACTGATACATGTCGATTACGGGAAAGTGTATTAAAGCAAAATGCACGCGCGGTGCAATTTGATCGGAATGGCCCCCAAAGCGCGGCGCGGCGGTGTGCAAACCGAGCAAAGCCGGTCGGCAAATTCGTGTTTCTTTGCTTGGTTCCGAGTCGAGGCACGCGCACGTTTATGCGGAATATAATGCGGCTAAAAATCTGTCCGCAACTTTCTTGCCCGAACACTTTCACTCGTGTTCGCACGGAATTGTTAGCAATTTTTGATGACGGCCGATATGCCGATTGAGATGTCTTCAAAATCTATTTCCAACGCACCAAGTCTCTCTTTCTAGGAAATAGTCCTCGCAAAATTCGGGTTGCAAGTTTTACGTAAGACGAGATAAGATGGAGAGAAAAAAAAGTTCATTTATTATTTATAAAGAAACGAAAAGGAATGTCGACAACACAACGACCTCCTCGATCTCGTGTAATATAACGCGCCGTTAATTAATGTGCGATGGTTACGTGATGATTGTTTTAATGATCCGCAAGCAAATAGATCCGGAAAGCGCGCGATTAATTGAGACTTAGCTTAAACACTCTCGAACGCAATTTAGACGTGCGGCGTGTACACGCGAGTATTTAAAATCTGTTTGCAAAAGTATTTTTTTTTCTCTTTTTCTCTCTCTTTTTCCTGCCTCATATTGTATTCACATCATCGAAATTTTGCGGTGTTCTAGTCGAGTTAAAGAAAAAACAACCGGAAGGATAGGGCCGCGTCGTCGCGTGCAAAAGAAAGCGAGCGTAATTTCACGTTTTGAGGGTACACGCGAAAAAAAATTGCAAGGAAAGAATGTCGCAACATAAAAAGCTATATACATATTTTTTTTTTTTTTTTTTAACGAGATTAACGCAACGGTTTAGAGTTTACACAAAATGCTTTTGTAAAACTTTGACAAATAGATAATATAAATGTCTATTGAACGTTATATAATTAATTTCGCGTCGCGGTTTAAAGCCAATACATGTCGAGCAACACGTTTACCTGTAATAAAACATTATGTTATCTAACTAAGATATTTAATAGATATATTATGTAAGGTTTAATCGCGCGTGCACGCAGTGGCTTGGTTCATTGGTTTTAATGCATATATATTCTGATATTAGATGTGTGCAATGTATACTTGAAATTTATAGCGTCGCAGTTTTTTTAAAAACCATGAAATTAACAAGACGTTTGTGTGAAAAGCAACATAATTTATGTTACACTAAAAAAACATAACATATAGAAGAGTTATATTTTTTTATTTTCGAATATATACAAAGAGAAGAGAGAGAGAGAGAGTGACACGTAAAATCATAGATTTTTATAATCAACTCTGTAAAATATTTGTTTTCTATTATTTATACGTATAAGAAAAAAACGAATTAAAAATTAGCAATTACTTATGAGTAATTTAAAAAAGTACTCAATTTTTTCCGTGTATAACACAAGATTTCAGAAAAAAATGAGTTGAGAACAAATGGGCACAAAAAGAAATCCAAGCTTTCTCATATGTGACTCTTTGATTTCAGAAATTGAACGTTTCAACCTGGGGTGAGTTTCTCTTTCTCTCTCTTTCTCTCTTTGCTTTAGTGTTTTAATTGTCGGATTTTTCGCCGAACACCGATTAATCGAGATAAGAGATGCGCGCGTCTAGAGAACACTTGACTGCTGATGGGTACTCACAATCACCGCGACACGCATGGCCGTGTTGTGTCCCTTGACGCAATGGTGGGTACACTGGGTGTGGTGCCGTGGCGCGTTTGTGTCTCACACTACCTCGAATGATTCCCCGTCTCCGCGTTCTTATACTTATATCCCCGTTTAAATTCCTATGTGGCACGGCCACAAGCAGCAAGCCAACTTTCCATCGGCGAGCCAGGAATTGTGTTTCGCGCGCCGCACACGATGTCCACCACCGCGCGCGCGCAACCCCGCGATTAGAAACGACTCGGCTGACCGACAGATCATCTCGGAGGATCGTTCTTTCTTTTTCCGCGTCAATCTCCCGACATTGATCCGCGAGATCAACGGCGCGATATGCTAATTCGATCCCTCGACGTGTTTCTCGTTATATTGGAAGCTGGTTTTGGATTTTTTTTTTTTTTAGATTCACCCTCTCGCCAAGATCTCGCGCGAAGATCCTGGAAGAAAAGGTCAAGAGTTAATGTGAGGTTTGTATATATGTAATAGTAACAAAGTGAGACCGCAACGACGACTTCGTTTGTTGCGAATTATGTTGCTGCACTTCTCTTCTCAAAATTTATTATATAACGTTGTTATTGTTACATACTTACCGGAAATGTCCGAAATTCAAGATTTCATTTTCGTTTTCATTTTTTTTTTTTTTCGAGTTTCGAATGCCCAGATTGCGAGATAATATCGATACCATGCAGCAACGTCCGCTTTTAATAGATACAACCATTTCTAAGTGTCAAGAGAGTCTTTCTCCGGATAATCGCGGACGAGAGTGCTGTACGATCGACGATGACTGTTGAAATCCGTCGCGATGACTCGCGCGGTGCAGTCTCATCAATCTTGCCGGCGAACTGCCCCGCACGTTGCCTTACACACACCGCAACTGGGTGATGGGACCATTAAGTTTCCACCGTCGTCAAAAGTCAAGGCGGAGGAGATTGATGAGAGCTCTTGCGACACGCTGAAATGACAATCGCTAATTGAGATAATATGCCGTTGGAATCGTTCGCGAGGGATTTCTTTCACCTGCTGCTGCAAAAAATAAGAAAAAAAAAAAAAGATTTATGCATTATCTCTCACATTTATGTAGAGCGTTGAATAATATTTTTCCATTTTAATACCCTATTCAAATTTCATACACTATAGAATGGACACGCGGACTCGTCGCAAAATAAATAACTCGAAAGATCGAGAAATAAAGAAAAGAAAGAGAGAGAGAGTAATAACCTGTCGTAGTAATAAACATTAATGGTTTGTCTCTTGACGCGCATCACGTAGATAAATATCACATCTAACGAGTGAAGAAAGAGTTGAGAGTTGCGCAATATTGTCGCCCGTTTTCTTTGGTATCAGACACGAGAGTTGAGATTACGTTTCCAATAAACAAAACTGGTTTCTGTCAATCTTCTACTCGCTCTTTTAAATTTTACGCTCACATAAATCGACATAACTAATTGATAGATAAAGTGAAATCTCAGTGATTTTTTACGACATTTATCGCGTTACGAGAAAAATTACGAAATTACAAAATAATTCTAAATTTTTGTTGTAACTAACCGAAACACGAAGATTCGTGGAAAAATCTGTGCGAAATGAACGATCAAATACATATCGAAAGCACAGAATGGCGATCGATTAAAATGACTGAGAGACTTATTGGAATTTATCGTTACTGGGAAGCGATGTGCTCGATGCACACGAGAACTTGCGTAGAACTTTTTTGTGACTTTGTATTCCTCTGTGGAAGTTGCTAGAAACTCGTCCTGCACTCTCTTTCGTTGCAGGAGTGTAGCAGGATCAGGATGCACCTGGTACCAAAGCCAAATTGACGTTTAAATCCCTCACGTTTAAATATAAAACAATTTTCTAGTTTGGACTTTTACGATCTCTGTATGTGCGCCATTGTAGTTCTAGAAAAATTACAAGATGTACAAGAATGCAGAAAGTAAAAATCTTAACCTTCCCTTCCGCACTTTATTATTTATATGTAAGTAATAATATTTATACATATGCGCAATTTTGTTAACGATATTATTTAAACTGTGCAGTTAATTAGTTTTTTTATACAATTTTTTCTTACATCTTTTTTAAATATGTTCCTTTTACGAAATCGCTTCACAGGTTCAAAAATAATTTTTGACGCCCATCCACTGTGAGAGAATCGCTTTAGTAGCACGTGCAAAAGCAACTTTTGTTACATATTCATGATATATTTTTAATCAATCGCGCATCTCATTTAGATATCTGCAAGTTTTTTTAATAATTTTACAGACATCGATCTTTTCTTCGAAGAAAAAGTATTTTACCGAAACAAAATGCAAGATTGTGCTGCACACACCTCGGCATCTTCTACATACAGCTCCGCGCCGGTAACCAGACACGCGCAAACCGCCGAAACACACCGCCCCGGCAACCTGGTGATAGCTTTTTCGGGATTATACATCCCTGCTCTCCTCTTCCCGATGACGATGAAAGGAGCGAGTGTGCTGCTTTTAAAGCAGCTCGCGTCTACGATGCCAGGCGCTGTGTGTGCTCGAGGCGCGCGGCGGCGTCCAAGGTCAGTGCCGGGGCCGACGAAGCTGACCGGCTGGCTCTCAGTACCGATCCTCGGGCTCGGGTAATGTGCGACGGGTAACGTGCACACATATATGCGCGCACGAACTTATTATCCTGCCGGTGAAGGAATGCAACTCCGTTTTGTTGCGTTTTCCTTCGCGTCAAGTTTCGATTATTCGCGATGGCGCCGTTTGGCGCACGAAGGCGCAGCGAAAATTGGTTTTTCTTCATCCACAGAAACGCTTATCCATAGAAGAATTGTTGGCTTTTAATCGACATTTACGCGCGCAAGTTTGCTTTCTTCTTTCGCGCGCGCGCGTCCAATACGATGTCCTCCTTATTAAAGCTGATATCGTATTCAAGCCGCACGAAAGTATGCGCGACTCGAGCCCATCCTTCATCGAGATTCTTCAAAATGTCAGGGCGGTATATATTCAGATTACAGCTTGCGAGATACGTCGAACCGGCCGTCGAAGCGATGAGATTTCGTTAAAGCTTAACGCGCGTCGGACATATGAATGCTTCATGATGCGGCGCGTTTCTTTGTCTTTTGAATCTGCTCTTTTTCCTATTGAGACATTGAAGAGACAAGCAGAAAGTATCCAATCAAACTGGTTCGGAAGATGAATGCAGCAACATTGAAGGTAACGCCGAGCGTAACAAAACTCTGGTGTGCGATGGAGTATAGAGAGCGCGCGGGAAAAAATTTTTTTCCTCAACCAGTAATGGTCGTTTTTTCGCGATCTCTGGTTAATGCAATTTCAACTCGTTTCGGTTTTTCTGACCGTGTATACACTGTGAAACCGTAGGGAGCGTGGAACTGTGTCGCCTCGAGTGTGTTTTCACTTCTTTGCAAAAAAACAAGAAGAAAATAAGTCAGTGCTAGAATTTAAAAGTACTTTGTTTTTGCACTTGTGTGTTTGTGATAAAATAGTATATATCACATGTAGAATTGTTTATATCTATATAATTATGTGTAATTTCTGCAGCAGCAACATTTTATAATAGATCAAAGATCAATGTTATTCCTGAGATAACGTTTATGAGCTTCGCGAAAGGAAATTCGCGAAGGAAAGATTCAAAACGGTCTCAGAAAAAAAAAAAAAAATAACGCTAAAAGTATGGAAACCATATGAACGCGTACTGTCGCAATATTACAAATCCCAGATACGCATCAGAAAGTCGTGCAATTCTGTATCCCCGTGCACGCGTTCGCGTCTCTCCATCTGTATATCCTTTGAGAAAAGCGGCAATGCGGAGTCTCGCGGCCAAGAATTCCCCTTCGCTGCGACCGAAGGCAGACAGGCAGGTTGGCAGGCAGATACGGGCAAGCAAGCAGGCAGGCAGGCAGGCAGGCAAGCAGGCAGGCAGGCAGGTAGATAGGTAGGTAGGTATGTAGGTAGGTAGGTAGGTAGATAGGTAGATGGGTAGGTGGTGCACCGGAGCAGACACTCTCGCGAGAGCCGAAGAGAGCCGAGAGCCAGACGGGGATCGCGCGCGCTCTCGGGTTGTCAGGGCTCGCAAAACCCCCGTGAAACCGGTTCTCCGTGTCTTCCACTTCTTCTTCTCTTCTTCTCCTTCTCTTTCTCCCTTCTCTCCTGTTCGCGATCTTTTTTTCCACGTGTGTCGCGGTCGTCGTCGTCGTCGTTGCACCGGTGCCGACCAACACACACGCGCGCATAGGAAACTCACGGTTTAAAACACTCGTGCCTTTTATGATTAATTGTCTGTGATTCCTGCCGGTAAGCGCATGGGGATAGGGGGACGTTCCAGAAGCGACGTGAAGAGAAGAATTCTCTAACACCGCCGTAGATGGCGACGAAGCGCCCGTTCGGAGGTGCCCCGCGTGCCTGGGAACACTCGACGTCCGCGCGGCGGTCGCGGTCGAGGCCGCGCGTCTCCGCCCTAGCGAAGTGCAGCAATGCGCTCGGCAGCAGTGCCCTCACCTGTCGCTGTCATCGTCGTCCTCGTCGTTATCGCGTTATTGTGTTTTTTTTTATTCTATTCAGTGTTCCCTCGTGATGACCGATAGGACATCGGGCGCCGGTCTCGCCTGAGTAACTCCGAGTGCGTACGGGTGGTCTCGGGACTTCTCTATTAGGGTATCTGAAGCCTGAAAATGATAGAGTTTCGATTGAGTCAGGTCTTTTCCCGAGAACGTTAAGTGTGTTTCTGAAACCCCCCGGACGTTTCCCGGAGAAAATGAATATTTATAGAATGGGAATGAATTTTTGTTTACATTAAATTAAATTTTCTTTATCAGATGGCTCGTAGCTTGACAGCTCGGGAAACACATCAATTTTCTAAACTATTCACATAAAGTTTACGAAGCCATTCGAGCATTCCGTGCGACTGCATTTCCCAGACGCGTTTCAACAGCTGTTCCGTCGACCGCTATTGAACCACTTAACATTCAAGGTGGCGTTTAATGAAATTCGTATGCTCCCGCCACGCCTCGCGAGACCAATAACGTTTTGCGAAACGGTAAATTAATAAATTCTCATCGCCAATCGACATCGCACATCAATCAATTTGCCAAGTGACGCATTTGTGACGTTGCACCTGTCGTCGATGCGTCGTCGTCTCCTTATCATTATGTACATCGCGCGGCAGCAGGGGACGCAGTGGAGCGTGTCCTGCAATTTTGCAGGAATGGCATCGCGAGAGCGTCGTTCGCCACTTTCGATATAACGCAATTTTCTGCGGTATTAACTCGCTATTCGCATTTTCCTCCGCAATTTGCAGCCCTCGTGAAAATACACAGCGCGCGATATTTTCACCCGAGCTGCGACTCGACTTTCATTTGAATTTTTCCGATCAAAAAAAAAAAAAAAACAAAAACAAAATACGTCACCTGTCCGAGAAACCATTTCGCAGAAGATGATAAAATTTTTTTTGATGAAATTGTTAACAATTCATAATTCTTCGAATTTCATAATATTGTTATGAGGATTTTCACGTTGCAAAAACTTCTGCATTCTCGATCTCTCTCTATCTCTCTCTCTTTTTGCTGAACAATTTCATATCGAATACACCTTCGGTATCTTGTTCCTCGTGCTAAAAATTCTGCATTCGGCGAGGGATCTGCGCTCACCTCCATTTCGCGAAGGTTTCGCGCATTCGGTCGTCCCTTTTCGCGAAGGATCGCGCGGCACTTCGGCAGAGCCGGTCGAACGTTAGCCGGCCGGTGTGTGCGGCGGGCGCGATCGTGCCGATTCTTCTCATTGGCCGAGAACCGGCGAGTATCTCTTGCCCGCAAGAAGACTCTTTGTCCGTTTTTCGTTCGTCCCGGCGCGACGCGACAAGCGGCGGTAACAGCAACGAGCGCTCGTTCTCGCGTCGCGAGTTACACGAGTGCAGTCGCAGGTCCTTCGGTCGTCGCGCCGGTTACAATTATTGCGCTCGCCTTCGATCACTCAAACCGATGCCCGCGTGCCGATGTGCGTGCGTGCGTGCGTGTTACGCTTCTCGGTATCACGTTGCGTCGCGAAAGCTCTCCCGTGCTCAGCACTTAAAAAACGTTAAACGCCGCTCCGATAGAGCTACTACTACCACTTCGCGGTATCGGTTTCAAAGTAATAAAATCTTCTTAGAGTAGAAAGAGAAAAAAAAATGAGCGACGAGAGAATTGTGTCACGCGAGTATCGCGTTTTAGTCAATGCAAAAGAGCGAGTATGTGTTTATCTTCGATCTCCGGTCGCAAGAGGAGATTAGCTGTCGCAGAGATCAAGAGGATAGACCGGAGTAACAAGATCAGCGGTCAGACACACACAGGTACGTCCTATAAATAAACATGGGATGTAAATTATTTCCTTTTTCAAATTGGTTTAATTCAGATTTTGGGCGTGTGATTGTGTTTGCTTTTATGTTTTTTTTTTTTTTTATAGATGGAAGAAAATACAACGAATGTAATAATACTCCAAGAGATATGGATGTTGGTATTATTTTTAGGAGGACTTGACGTTTGTGTTAATTAGATGTAAACGCCAGATCTCTCTGGTGTTGCCAGTTTTTCACAGTTGAGATTACTTTAATACTGTAAGATTGTCGAACAAGGCTTTATGTTGAAAAAAAAAAAAAAAAAACTTTGACGTGTGCACGAAATGTGGGTGTTTTGTAATTTTTACACGCGTTGCAAAACTTCGCGCACAAAATTAATTACAAGATAATTATGGCTCAGACACGCGTAAGATTTTGACTGCGAGCGTACGCGTTACTTATCACACATGGAACTTTTAACCGACGCGAAATGCTTATTATTACACATACATACACAATACGATCTACTGATCGCTCAAGGACGAAGGAAATACGATAAGCTATATGAAAGCGATGCCTGGGATTGTAGACATAGGTTACACAGGCAATTTAGCTCAATTAGTTCTGGCTAATATAGTAATTTCAATATTTCCAATATAAGTGGTTATAAGTAGCTCGTTAAACATTTCACCGAACAATTCGGCATGCTTCTGCGTTTCAGAGAGCGATAAAGTGAATGGAAAGCCGAAGAAAGTTGGAAGAATTTAGAAAATAATTACTGAGAAATATAAAAACAGTTTACGTGTTGTGCGTAAGAGTGTCGGGAAAAGAGTTCGCGTATATAGAATTTATATTTTTATTTTATTTATACAAAACTGAATTTGCTTTGTGAGAAATATTCGTATTTCAACTTCACACTCACCTCAAAAACAATGTTTGTTAATTTTTATTAATTTGAAGAATTGACGTTGTATCACACGTAGAACGAAGATCGGGAGCGCATAAAGTCTCTTTCGATTCGCGCCACCCGGTATGCGCGAGACGGCGATTCTATTCTCTCGCGGATCTCGACTTTCCGCGACGACCTTCAGCGCCATATCACCAAGTTGTCGAAGAGCATTGTCCGCGGGATCGCGCGTTCGGCTTTTTGATTCGATTTTTCGCACACTTTGGAAAAGTCAAACCAGACACTTCACCCTGAAAAAAGAGATGCGGGACAAGATTAACGTTTCGAACGACTTGCTCTCGATAGAGACTCGAGAAAGGGAGTGTCCAGACTAATCTTGACCTTGAGTATTCCGACTCTTCTGGCCGTGTGTCACAGAGATCGCAAAGTCTCCGCAAGTCGCGCGACACTCGGGTTTTCGGATACACAAGGAACTTTCTCTCCCGCGGTTTGATATATTTTAATTAATAAATCGCGTCATTAACGCAAGCCTCTCTCTGTTTGATTCCTGAAATTCTTACGCGCGACTTCATTAAAGCACGCGTAACGTTTTTTCTTTCCTCCCGACAGTGCCGAGTTTCACATTAGACCTAGAAGAGAAGACTTAATAAGATTCACTTTTTCTACTGAGAGTCGATTAATTATATCTTTCCTCGATATAATTACTTCCCGCAATTAAAATCTTCCTAAATTAACCGTCTAATACCTCTCGCATGCGTGCACGGCGCGTTTCAGCGGGGAATTTCTCCCATGAAAATTGTTCTTTCCGGAGCACAACACGTTGTTGCCAAGTACAACGTTGCGCGAACGGAAAAGAGCCCTTCGCGTATCGAAAAGGAAATCGGCGAGAAGACCGGCCGAGGGAATGGAACCCCTCGACGCGCGCTAGACAGACGTGCACATATTCGCCTTGCCTCGTATACGGACACTGCTTCGGTCAAGGTCGCAGTCTGCGCGCTTAACGTTCTTTTTGCACGATTTCTCTCTTTCTCTCTCTCTCTCTCTCTCTCTTTTTCTCTCTGTCTGTACCCGGTGTCCCGAGAGTGCCGATCGGAGGACTGCTGTTGCTAAAATAGAAGAGAGGGAGGAGATTATTCGGGAGTAACTTCTAATGTGTCGCGTGTAAAGCCACACGCGACTGTAATTGCGTTATATATTTGCGTTACATGTGCATTTATTGCAATATCTCTCTTTTGTCAACTTTTTTCTTCTCCTGTTAATTTCAAGAAAGTTTTCCGAATATTATATATATGACATACAAGAATATAAGGCCGATACGAGCCATTCCCAGGATGTTGAGCAGGAACTTGAACGTGCATACATATATGTATACATCTATAACAAGTATTACTTGTAAATTTTTACAAGTAAGTTTTTTGAATTGAAAATTCAATTCGTAAATTTTTTTTTTATTATATATATGTATATAATGATTGTTTTTTGTTCTTTCTTATATTTCTCTAGGTTGTCTTCGACATGTTACACACAGCTCAGTTGGGAAATTTATGCTCAGACTTTTTGTGATGTTAAATAAATTGATGAAAAAAAAAAAAAAAAAGAAAAAAACGCCGGATTCATGTGTGTTTTCAAGCGAAACAGTATATCATATAGTGAAATAAGATTGTGGATATTTGTCGTATGTGTTGTTTTATACCTACAACATGTGTTAAAATAACTTTACGCGACAAGATTTATTTATAGACGTAACGCAAAGCAAAACTCATTCGCTCGGAATACATTGCCGTTACATGTAATTACACAACACAGCGAATTTTGAACACACATTACCGACGCATTATTAAAGAGTCTAAAGTCTGATTGTATAATAAAAGCTTGAAGTGTGACAACTTTTCGCAGGTACAAATGAATTTTAATACGCGTCTCAAGGTCTGCAAATAAAAGTATACACATGTATATAAAAGCTGGATTATATACGAGACTCTCTCTCTCTCTCTGTAAGATACTGTGTCGAGGCTTGGTAACTCCACCACCGTTGGCGGAATTATACGGCCAATGGGGTACGAGTTTCCTTCCCTCGGTGCGAAAGACGGCTTACGTTGCACGTTTGCACGGTATCGGCGTGTTAAAAAGTCCTTCAAGAGCGCGCCGTTGCTATTGAGCGATAATAATTGAGAAGTTTGAGAAACGACGTAAGTATTGCCACAAGTATTTTTTTTCTAATTAATCCTGTTTTTCTTTTTCCCCCTGTATTGTATGTTATGCACGCAAATAAACGTGTTGAGGAAGAAACGCATGTTGTGTAACTTTTATTTCTGACCGTCGTGAATTCGATTCTGCGAAATCAACATTGTGTAAATAAAATTAATTAAGTAGAGACTTGAATATTGAAGAAAATGTATATATACGCGCGTCAAAAGATTCTTATTATAAGTTATTTAAAAAACCTTTTAAAAGATGCGAGAGCGAAGATAAAAACAAGAGTTGAAATGTACTGCTTTCGTCCGGTGTAAAGAGCGCTTTTCTTTTCTTGATTATTCCAAGGATCATGTTCCAGCAAAGATGTAACGCGACCGAAGCGCGCAGCCTCTTGTGATTGCTGTTTCTATCTGAGAGTGAAACTTTCAAAAAGAGTTGTTACCCTTATATACTCTCGTTTCTCTCAAGCCGTACCTTCGACCAATGAGCGACACCGACCAATGAAACGCGCGCTGATGCCCTTACGTCCGGTAACGCATCGTCGCCATAATTGGTCCTTGGACCAATAAAGCGCGCGATGAAGCGGCATACGATTGGTCTGCAACTTCAAAGCCGATATTCATAGAAATTGAGTAAAAAGTAAAAGTTACTAGATTTTCGTGCGAGAAAATAAGTTCAAGAATCGCGAGGTTCAGATAGTTCTGATTGATCATTCCGCGACTATAAACCAGCACTGTAATACGGGCTTTATCTGCTGCACAAGAAACGAGAGACAAAATATTTTTGATCTGTCAGATCTTTTAGGATATTTTTAAGACATGGATGAGAGAGGAGGTTAGTTGACTATTGTAAAGTAACATAGAATTACGTATCTACTGTTGGTAGATCTACTGTTAAGTATCAACGTTTCTCATTTTGTACTGTTTTTTATTGTTTGTTTCTTTAAAAAGTTATGTATTTTTTTTAGACGATATGCACAGAACAGAGGAAGACTCAGATTGGGACTGCGAAATGTTTAATAATAAAGATCTCACATGCGAAAATGAAAAAGGTAATCTTACATTGTTAAGACTTCTTTCGGAATACATATATTTTAGATCATTAAGTATGAAATTGATAAAAAGAATTGATAAAAAGAAAAAAAATATACTAACTAAAATAATAAAAATAAATGTACTAACTTGAGATAAATATATATATATATATTAGACTAAATATAGACAAAAATTATAAATAATATATATTTGTTAAGTTGTATACTTAATAAGCCAATAAATATATAATTGTTTTTTTATTATATATTAATACTGGTTTATTTTTAGATACACAGGTGCTTGAAGAAAACACAAGAGTGAATACACAGAGCTATAATCGTCACACATGCTGTGGTATGGTTATCGCAATACTTATACTATTTGTTTTTTTTTTTTTTAATATTTTCCACTTGAAGCAATTACAATTCTGAAAACTATCATGTTTTATATAGAATATACTAAACATATATATTTGTATCTTTTGTTTCGTATAGTTGCTTGCCGTAAAATGCAGAAAACGTTACTTCAGAAAATGGATGTGCTCATAAACTTACTCTCAAGTCAACAAGAAAAGATATCACTTTCCGCATCTAATGCTACATATGAGACAAATATATTACCACATTTTCCATTATCGACAACTGATGAATTGATGCGATTTAACGAAGAACTTGAAAAATATGAAGATCTCAAAATAATATTCGTAAGTATTATTGTTAAATCTATTCTAATCAATGCATATGCACTTACTAACTTTAAATTTCAAGATCACAAACACTGATTTTGACCTACAAATAATATATCTAAATACTTTAAATCAAACAAAAATAGATTCTTTTTATTTAAATCAGGATTATTTTTTTTTCAATATTAAATAAATATTTGTTTTTTGACATTTTTAAATATACAGATAATATATTTTGTTGTAGAAATCGAGTATCTCAACACTTGGGGGAAGAAGTCCTGAGCATAAAGTTAGAAATATATTAAAGCATATACTTACGGATGAATTGTGTCGTCAAATGTCATGGACGGGACAGAAGGGCTCTATACCTATTAAAGATATAATGACAATCTCTATAATAACAGGCAATTATATATCTTTACAATTTCTTGTGCTATTGATTAGATTTAAACTAGATTTGATACATTTATTGATTCTAATCAGAGAATTATTATTTCTTACACTAGTGTTTTTCATAAGTTGTTGATTTCCAAGAAGTTCTAAAAAGTTGCAATAACGTAATAAGCAATTTTTTTTTTTTTCAGAAGTATATTCATAGTTCTTTCAAAAAAATGTTTCAGACTATATTTCTAGTTCGACGACGCTCGATATTTATACTATACATAAAATAATTGCAGAGTGGTTGCGACACGCGGGAGATCGCATAAGATATAGAACAAAAACCGAAAAAAAAGACGGATAAATGATGAAAGAAATAAAAACCAGAGTGTATCGTCAAACCTTGTACGAGTGAACTGTATAAATATCTTATTTCGACTGGATTTTATCTCTTGATCGGGTAATTTGACCAGTTTTAGCACGGATTGCAATATATATACGAAGAAGCGTAAGGGACAGTAAATACATATGTATAAATTACAAGCATACTTTATGTTACACGTATTTACAATTAGATGATAGATTACTACAGTAAGAAAATTTATAAAATTGGAATATTTATATATGTATGAATCCATATATATAAAATAATTCAAACGATTGTGCAAATTTTGATAATTGTGATTTTTTCAATTTCTCTTCTAAAGAATTATATATTGTCCAAAACACGAGAATGAGATTTAAATTTTTTTTAAATAATAAATTCGGTAATGATGATTTTTCGTAAATTGTTTTCAATATTGTTGTCAAACTGTGTAAAAGAGACGTCCTTCGAATTTTGAGACGAATTAATTTATAACAATCTCCAAGTTTTGTACATATATATAATTTCAGTTCTATATCGTTATTTAGTTTTCGCGAGGTGTGTACAACAATGTAATTTGTTGGTCGATAAGCCAAGATTTTTTATTTCAGCGTGGATTCGAACCGCAACGTATATATCAATCGAGCGAACTTATCGTTCGTCGCTCGAGTCATCGTCTTTTAACTTCTCGAACTTGTCACCGAGCAGCGCTGCTATTCGTCGAGAAGCCGCCGATTTCTCACGCGTTTTCACACACATCAGTTCGGAGCAATAGCGTCATTGACGAGCGAGGAGTGCAGTGTTTTGGGTGTTGTTATCGTATGCAACGACACAGGCATGACTAGCGCCTACACGTTTTGCTTGTTGCTCGTTGCTACACTGGCAGATTCCGGTTACTCCACGCAGCGTTCAGTGAGTATTCAGGAAATTCGCACACATTCTCTCCAATGACGATAAAAACTTTATGTACGCGATAATCGACCGCACGATCACGTCAAACACAATGCGACCGATTGTGTCCGGTGCAGCGACGTCGCTCACGATCGCGTTGTCGAAGCGAAAAATTCGAAACGTGATTCATCACGTACTTCCGGGAGAGTACGCGGTCTTTGTTTTGATTATCGCGCGTTATTGATTCGTCAGCAATGATTCGAAAGGGCGTGTTATGACTCTTCCCACTCGTTTTTTTCTCTCTCTCTCGATCTGTAACTTCGATTCTGATGATCGCGCGCGCGCGCGTCCGCGTCTCTGTGCGGAGCGCGATTTAGAAGAGCTCATGATTTTGCGTACGACGATATATTGAACACACAGGTGGATTCATTGATAAATTGGCTGGTTGCGTACGCGTGAACGGATGACGATAAGTGTGCGACCCAGATTTTTGTTTGAGATCTAAGGGCACGGTCATTCGCGCACGTACTTGCACAACATCGCGTAGACCGCGTAAACTATACGAGATTTCGAAATTTTATTATTTATTTAACGCGTGGATTATCGCGTATATATATATCGCGCGTTGTAAACAGCGGATTTGCCAGACGGGATTTTTAAATGAGCGGTCATAAAAGTTGAAGAAAGAAATAAATTGTTAATTTACGGAAGCAAAAAAAAAAAAACAAAATGTAATAACTTACAAGTCGCACAGACGACTTTTTCAATATTTGAAATTGAACGTTTCGCGTTACGCGTCCGGGATCATTTTTCCTGAAATACGGTTGTAAATCTCGGTTGTAAACAAACATTATGACGAAGCTAAGGTGAGCGGATTCGAGTTTATTAGAATTTGTTGTTGTTTTTTTTTTTTTTAGTTTTCCACCAGATATATTGCACATCTGTACATGTAACGCGAATTTATGTCGGTGTTTTGCGATATGGAAAGATGAAGTTCGTCACACACACACACACAGTCGCAATAAGCAACAACGTTCATAAATTGGCGGCGGTGCGATATTTTACAGTATAAGACGCGCGCGCACTCGTGAAAATGTTCGCTTCTTCACACGCATAGGTCTGCTGCGAGGAACGCTTTAAATTAATAACGAACTCGGTATCGATTCTAGAAGTGAATTAGTAAACAAGTGTGCAAAACCAATGCGATTCAACGTGTTAAAGTTTCCCTCGAAAGTGGAACGTGAAATTTACGAGAAAAACAGTTTTCGCAATCGATGTGACGTTTTAAGAAAATTGTATCTGTACGTCAATATTCAGTCGGAGATAAGTGGAGAAAATTTCAAGGAGTTTTCTTTGTTTAACGCGCATGACGCGGAATTTTCAATAAAAAAAAAAAAAAAAGATTATATAAATATAAAACTCTCGTTAACTTTGTTCCATTATTGCGCGCCGTACTCTCTGTGCATTAACGTCGTGCAATAATCGACGTGCGGCCGTTCGCGAGCACGCGGGGGGCTCGCAGGAACGCGACAAGGCCGAACCCGACAACAATCCAGGCGCTGATCTGGGTCATCCATCCGTTAATACGCGAGCGTCGTGTAATTGCGATATCTGCAACGATTTATAAAATGCGCGAACTTGATTCTGACTTACAGCTACGATCGTGGTTGAATCCGGATTGCAACGAGCTGTGCCGGGAACGGAACGTGACGACGCTCTACATGAGAGCTGATGGCCCGAACGACACGTTGCATTACTTATGGGATTTCGTCGGGAAACCGTCGGTGCTGCTGGCGCTCACGCCATCGAGCGCCTGGCTCAACATCAGCAACTGGGAGAATTATCTCGCTAGAAAGAAGAAATCGCTCTACTTCACGGACGGAGAGGTCCTCTATTCATTCGGAGTGATAATAAATAAGGTATAATTTTTTTGTTTTTTTTTTTCGTTTTCCTCACCCCCGTCGTAGATACAGAAGATCCAATTAAAATGCCGCCACACATTGGCGACGCCGCGGTCTATAGACACGGTAAAGAGGTGAGGAGTAGAGTAGTGCTAGAAATATACTTGCGCGATTCATCGTCTCTCCGCTCCCGAACCGAAAATCCGAGTGAGTGACATAAATCCGCTCTCGGTCGCGTTCTCTCGGGCCCCGAGAGTTGTGGAAGGTAGCATCTGTGGGATTCTTAATTAAACCTTTGCACTCCAATGTCTCCACTCGGTGTGAAGCTCCTACTTCACGTTGAGTGTCTTCCTCCTTTTGAGAGAGCGAACATATATCTCTCTCCCGCGTATATGACTGTGTCATGATGACGAAACGTATGTTTCACACCAAAATACCGGAGAGAGAGAAAATACACAACAAACGCTTCGAATATAAATTTTTGATCAGTTTCGCGCGCTATGTTTATTTTTACGAATATTGATCATTTTGTCGTTTTAACAAATCTCGTGTGTAATTCCAAATAGTTACGCGCGTGGCTACTACTTCACCCTCTTCACCAACTCACTCCCCCTGTATGAAATTAATTCCGATCATATAGGGATTAATCCTTTGTAACACACACACACACACACATACACGGAATTGACGATTGATAATTGATTCACATTCATGCGCTTGATGAAATTACAAAGCAACGAGCAAACAAAGTTTTGATCGAGCTCTATATTTGTTTGAGGATTTCGAGCGCCGTTCAAAATCGACGAGATTGCGGGTTAATGCAAATAATTTTATCGTCGGGTTATTACGCGCGATCTCTCAATGCGAGAAATTATGTTTATCTCGCGCGCGGCTCTCGTCATCGAGGCAAATTCGGGCCGCGATCATCATCCGCCCGTTGCGAATATGATTTTTTGATTTAAAGTAAGATGGATGACGATGTTTGCACGCGAATCGCTCGTGCTAATTGTAATTTAAGTAATTACGAGTTTTTAACGTTTTAAACCTTTGGTGGTGTTGCAGATTATCGAATTCAACGACGTAAATGACACGGCACTGATTAACACTGCCGACGTCAATAACACGAATGTGTTGCATCCCGAATATTTCAACTGGCGGCGCGTGTCTCTGTCGCAAACCGACGAATACGTCTACCTGGATATGGAGGGTAACTCTTATCACGATACAGCTAAGAATATCAGCAGATACGGGAGTATAAAGCTTTCGGTAAAGTATTTTGCAGCATTCGCACGCAAGTCGCGGTAGTGTGTAGCAAAACAACTGCATGCGAAAGAGATCACATCTCGTGAATATATAAAATGTGTAACCCGCTACCTTGTTCTACGATCGAAATAGCGACAATAAGCGTTGTCGTAAAATTTGTGTTGTGGTCCGTTTTCGGTTTTTTCCAGCTCCGAGGATTCTGCACGTTCGATCATTCGGACACGGTGCCGCACATGCTGCACACGGAGAATTCCACTCAAGTGGACATCGTTCTCGACCATATTCAGACCAGCGATACGTTTTCCAATAGCAGATTCGCCATCGAATTGCTCGCGGTAGGCGGTGGCGATCCCGAGATACCGATGTTTGTCGATCCGAAAAAAAGTCTCGACGACGAACACACACCGGGTATATTCGAGGTAACAATCACTGCAGACACCGCCGTCAATCGAAGAATTATTAGTCTCGTGTCGGTTTTTTAATAAAAAAAAATGTGCAATGTCTTTGTTACTTAATTTTTATTTTCTTCAGGTTGTTGAAGTTAGAACACCTCAGAAAGAATTGGATAGGGCGCTGGACGCCGGGGCGTACTTACAATGGCGACCGGTGTCTTACAGCAGCGCGTCCCGCGAAATGACCGATTCCACCGAAACGGTTCAGTACCCGCCGAAAAAGGTGACGGACAATCACACAAGTGTCATTAGAAACTCGATGCTCTATTGTTATTACGAAGAAGACGTGGACTCTCTTCTTCTCCAGAGAGTGATGATCTCCTTGGGCTCGAAAGGAGACGGTTTTTACAAGAAGAACAATTATTCGACGTGGTGAGTTATCGTGATATTTGTTACAAGAATTAACAAAGAGATTTTTAAAAAACGGATCAAAGCTCTCCTCAAAGATGTTTGCTTTTTTACGTTGTAAAAAAATGTAATTTGTGTTAATAATTTATCGAGCGAAGAGAAAATTGTGTGTGTTTTACGAATTTATTTCGCAGGACTTTTATAATCGGATACGGCACGCCACCCGAAGAGAAATTTTCTTCTCTAGTCGTTATGATAATCTCGATCGGCCTCGGCCTTCCTTTGCTCATTATGATTATCACCAGTCTGTATCTTTGCATTCGTAGAATGCGCAAGACACGAGGCAACGTGTATCGATGAAGACGCTCGATTGTTTTTCGATGTCGTTTTTTCTCGCGTATTCGCATACGTTTTAGGTATAAATTGTTATTACTACATACACACACACACGCACACACACACACACACACTATCGTTGTTTCTGTACACAGAAAAAAAAAGAAATATTCCTATATTTATATATATATATATATGTGAGAACACGATTATATATTTTTACACCAAGCCGTTATTAGCTCGGGTCTGATATCAGTGTGATAAGCGTGAGAGTGTGGTAATCTGTTTTTTCACAATGTATTTAGCACTCAGGGTAATGTTAGCGTCTTTATCTCTAATTGTTTATACATTGTAAATTTTAGTTTAAAACTTATATATAAATTTATATTTCGCGCGCGTGTTAAATCACTTATTGCGAATAGATTGTTGAATCGCAACTCCGCACGTTAGCTCTGTCTATCTAAATATGTTATGAAAGAACAGCGTGTTCATTTATGCAATCGAAGAGTGAACTTTTCTAGGATTTGTAATTAAAATACCGTAAGTGTATGTCTGTATGTATGTATGTGTGCGTGCGTGTCTCTCTCTGTGTCTGTGTCTGTGTGTGTGCGTGCGCGCGCGCGCAGGATTTATGAAATATATCTTACGAATAATATATGTACCACTGCATTTTGTAATATACTTTTTCTAGTATTTGTTCTTTACCTTTCATAGCGAGGTAGTAAAATTATAAACTGCGCAATAAAAAGTCGAGAGAGAAATAAAGAACCGCGAGCGAAAGAAAAGAATCTTCGCGATGAGATTCGTGAGAACAATGTTGGCAGGCAAATCCTCGAGACGAGCTCGCTCGGAAGCGTGCACAGGTATGGACGGACGTTGCCAAGGATGGGAGCGAATGTTTTCAGGTAATGGTAGTAAGAGTGACGCGGTGTGGTACCGCGTTTTCCTCCGTCGCGGGACGGCGAAGGGGTCAGCGAGGAGGGAGGAGAGATACTGTCCACGATATACTGGATGGAGGGGTAGGTTTTCATTGATCCACCCTGTGCTACGAAAGCGCACCACGCAAGCACTTACGGAGCCCTGAACGGAGCATTGATCCCGCCCCGTGCCGTCGCTAGTATCGCCACGTGAAAAAGCTCGCGATTTTCTCGAGAAAATCTACGCGAGCACACGATCCCTTGTAACAAATTCGATACCACCGATACCGTCGTCGCAAAAGTGGCGACATTGCTCCCGACCCAACAGCGTCCTGGATCGGGATTCTTTTCGGCAAGCGTTTCCGCGCCGTCGGTACCAAGGCGGAATCGGGACTGGTTTTTTACGTATGGGAGCGCGGGGCGGTAGCGCAGGTAGACACAGAGCGGCGAAGGGGTTAGTTCGCATAGCGGATTGCAAATGGAGTATATACGGGGGATGTATAGCGGGGTGTCTTGTAACTAGTTCTCGTGGAGTCCGCTGCGCGAGAGACTGGCGCGTGGCGATGCAGTAACGTCCGCGTCGCCTCCGACTGATCGCGACAGTTGGCACCGGGGTGAGACTCGTTTCTCGTCGTAACGAGGACGCATCGAAACGGGCGACCCGAAGATCGGAAAAGAGCGAAAATCGCGCAAGATTTTGACAAGGTGGATCGGAGTCCGCGGAAGACCGTGAGACGGGTACTCGGTTCGACATTTACAAGCGAGCGACCACCTTTCGTGCCGGCCGTGTTGCTGCGAGGAAAAGACATAGGACGTCCAAGGGGTGCAGGACACAGCGCCAGTGGCGACGGTGGTGCGAGGGTTGAGAGTTAAAGAGGGTTGGACGAGAGAGAGAGAGAGAGGGAAAGACGGAGAAAACACTAGAACGAGAGAAACAGAGCGGGCGAGAAAGCGATAGGTGGGAGAAGAGGCGAAAGAGGACACGGAGGGGTAAGGAACGTGGCCGCCGAGGAAAGCTCGGAAGCGAGCAAGAAAGGGACGAAGAGAACGATCGTTCGCGCGCGCGCGTTCGGCCGTTCGCGTTCGCTCGTGTGCAGTGTGTTGCCGCCATCCGTGTGTGTACGTGAGTATATGCGCAAGCACGCGTTCGCGCGTGTGTGAAAAGCACGAGAGTGTGCGGCGGACGAGAGAGGAACCGTCGACAGAGAACAAAGGGAGTGGAAAAAAAGGAATCGCCACACCGCCGCCGCACCGTGATTTATCCGTAACGTAGGACGCGGTGCAAAACGCCAAGGGCGTGTGGCAGGAAACGCGCGAGAACGGCGTCAAGTAGTAGCGATACGCAACTTAATCGTACGAACGGCGCAAGTAGAGTAGACCCGCGTCGAGGCGAACGGCGCGACGCGACGCGACGCGGCGGCTGGACACGAACGCGTCGACGGGCCTGTCCCCGAAGAAGGGACCGTCGCGCGCAACGCGATCAATTTTCGTTGCGACGCGCGGGCGGCCAGACCGTAGGACGGACGTGAGACGAAATGATGAGTCGACCGAGGCACCGATAACCGGCCGGATAATGTTGTCGCAGAGCAAGTTTTACGCTCTCTTCATCCACTACACGTTTGTGTAGCGCGACACGGGGCGGGTCCTTGCCGCTGCGGTGAAGAATAGAGGAGGAGGAGGTGGAGGAGGTGGAGGAGGTGGGAGAGGAAGAGAAGGAGAAAGAGGAGGAGGAGGAAGGAGAAGAGAAAGAAGAAAAGAAGCTGGTTGTGTGAAGAAGAAGAAGAATACAAGTGGAAAGGGAAAAGTAAGAAAGTGGTGAAGAAAAAAATTGTTTGAAATTTAAAAAAAAATACAAAAAAATAAAAAAGAGCTCCTCTGGAACAACCGTCATAATCGCCATCGTCGGCTCGAAAGAAACACGGGATCCAAAGTGGAAAAAAAACCGAGAGAATTCGTACACGCGTACGTACACGCTACACAACGCAGTACGCACGCAAGGGGGAAAGACATCGCGTGAGGCGGAGAACACGAGAAGCGCCACGTCGTCGTCGTCGTCGCCGTCGTCGTCGTCGTCGTCGTCGTCGTCGTGGTCTTCGTGATCCGTCGGTTGGTTCTTTTTCTATATATTTGTCAGTGTGAAAGTGTATTTAATCAGTGTCTTCGCACGGTGGTGCTTGGTTGTGCTACCCAAGTATTTCGAGGCTAAACGAGCAAGGCCCGCGGAGGTATCCCAGAGAACCCGCCCCCTCTTCCCCCGGACGTCGCAGTGCCACTCTTCTCTCCATATCGTTACGTCGCTACGCTTCTCTTTTATGTTCTCAGTGGTGACTATCTGCACTGGAGAGTGTTCGACCTCCTCGACCGTAAGTGTTACTCGTGTATGCTTACGTGTGTCTCCGCCCAGGCGGTAGAAGAAGTGTCTAAAGATCTTGCTCTTTCGTGCGCTTTTGAGACTTTTCTTCAATTTTTTCCCCGAAGAGTGTTGCCAAGGGCAGCTAATGCGCTCTCGCCATAAATTCCCTCGCAAATTGTCATAGGCTCGTGCGAAATTCGTCGTCTCGTTTCGTTTGCCGCAGCAAGATATTGCACATTCTCAGCGAACGTTAAAAAAAAAAAAAAAAAAAAAAACAAAAATAATAAAGACCAAATCTTGTTGCGTGAACGTGGAATCCGATGAAATTTGCATTGTCACAAATATTCTGCGTTTTGACAATTTGTTGCCTTTTTTTTTTTTTTTTCAAGTCGGATCACGCGTTGACGTTTTCTTTGATGTCAAATCGCACTGTGTGCGTGATGACAATTTAAAAACTCGGGCAATTGCACGCGGATAAAGAAATTTGATACAACAGTTTTTATCGCGATGTACGCGTGCGAATTTTTGGACATATTTTTGAATTTTAAAAACATTTAGAAGAGATCCAATAGATCACCTCCAGGATATGTCACACACACAGTTGTTACAATAGTTTCGGGATGACTTTTTTTTTTGTTTGTCTCTCGTTCCGTTTACGTGACTTGCGTTATAAATGATAAAAAGTTTTTCTCGTTGAATAAAATTTGTTTCTGAAAATATGAGAAATATATGAAATTTATATATGTAAAATTATATCTGATGTATTTTTCGCGCGCGGTGCCACACATATGATGGACTGTTTGACATTCCGTATAAGCCCAGGGGCGTAGCTACGGCAAATATAGCACAAGAAAGCAAAGTGTAGAGACATACGAATACGGGGGCGTGCATTATATTGATACATATTAATAAGATAATGGTTGGCATAAACGTGGACAATAAAATATCCACGATACGTGGCGATAAAGTGGTACATTCAAGGTGGTACGCGAAAGTTTTGCATTTAACGAGTTTTGACGTTAAAACTGTGACAGAAAGAGAGAGAGAGAGAGAGAGATGGCTGGCACTCTTTAGTTTATTATAAAAATTAAAAACTGTTTTTGTTTTTGCTCTCTTCTAATTACAATTCTACAAAGGTAAAAGAGAGACAATTTGTTTTAAATTCGGTCAACACACTATTTTATCGACGATTTTCTGTTTTGACGCGTCAAAAAAAACTTGCGTCTGCGAACTGTCGATTATACAAAACAACACGTCTTAAACAATTTTGTGTACTACACAATATTTCTCTCTTCATTTCAAAACCTCGTTTACGGAGGAATATGCTGGCATTAGAACATAGTTACATAACATTTACATAACGTCGCAAAACGTTTTTTTCTCAGGAAGAGTCGATTGCGAGAAAAAATCGAATGCGACGATCGAAACGGATCAAGTCAACCGCGGCGGTAGACGCTACGTCTGACCAGTCGTTGATTCGACCACTTTTACTTGGTCGCGTGGTGAGCGTCCTAGCGATGCGGCGCTCGCGACGCCGCTCTTCGTGTAGCCGCGACGCGACGGATCGGGAGAGAGAGAGAGAGAGAGAGAGCTGCGTCGACCCCCGGTGCACGTTCGTCGTTTCGCATCGGAGGTAACGAGGTCTCGATTACGCGGCGCGATAGGGCGGCAATCGAATCGCCAGGGTGTGCGTCCCATGTGTATGTATACATATACATGTATACACATTACATATATACATCGTGTGCACATAATGTTTTAGCGTGACGCGCGGCTCCACCGTGGCTGCCATTCCCGATATATCGATCGACGCTACCGCGGTCAGGGATCGGTCGCCGCGAGCTCGCGATGGTTGATCATCGCGAGGACTGTCCGATGTGTGTGCGGCACAGGGTCGGATTTACATACGAAGAGATACCGAGGGCTATAGGTCGCGCGTTGTGTATAATTCTCATCGTGTGTACGTGTGTGTGTGTGCGTGTGTGTGTGTGCGCGCGCGCGCGAGCCGTTTTCGGAACGATATCAATCGATAACGCGTGGCACGAGTCTCTTGCGGGGTCTCTGTGCCCGATCGAGAGTACACACGATCTACTATAACCGTTCGAAAAGTGTAAATCCGTTCTGCTTATAGATACGCGGAAACCTTTTATAGCGTCGTTCAAATCAAAGAGTATGCACACACGTTTACTTCGTCTTGAAAGGAAAAAATACGACAAAAGAGTGCACGTGGTGGGACACACACGTAAAAGAGCTGAAATATTTCTGCAGAGTCTACGTAAATAAATAGAACTGTTTTGCTGAAACTTATCAAAGTTTATATATATATATATATATATATATATATATATATACACACATATAGACAGTTTTCATATATATATGTATAAACAAGTAGTGAACTCCGGGTCTCGCTCTATTGAGCAAAGAAGAACTAGAAGCATTATCGATATAACGGGACATTCATAGCTGCGTTGTGTGAATCTGGATGCTTCAAGGCTATCCAATAGGGCGGTAAATCCCTGACACTATTGTGACTTCTCGTACAATATAAACTTCCAATCTAGTCTCGGTGACTAAATGTTTAATCCAAACACTCTCGAATCCTTTAACTTCTCAGCATTGAAGCTCATCTCGCACATATGTGGAGGTACACGTGCAATTTCGACAATTTGGCGAGTCAATAGAAAAAATTAATGAGTAAAAAAAAAAAAAATTCATATTCTTCGATAATTTCGTTTAAGTGTTCGTTTGAAAAAAAAAAAAAAAAATTGCCGGGGAAAAAAAACAACGCGACGCTAAATATATAAATAATACGATTATTTGCTCGCGCGCAAGGACAAGGCCGATTAACCACATCGGATTCGATCGCCGTGATCGATCGCGTCGTGATTACGACAATGATTGTGACATGTCTGCTTGCCAGCCGGTGACCTTCCTCCCGCGCGCGAGAATTGTCGGTCAATACATGCTGCACGATCCGCTTAAGAACCGGCTGTGGCGATGATATCGATCACACCGGTGTCGTGCACAACGACGCCTCGGAGGACTTTCTTCCGCGAGGAAGCGTGCAACTACTTGTAACGTGAACCATTTATTCTCGAGCGCGCGATCGCGCACTTATACACACACACACACACACACGCACCCAAAAAGCTTGCCCCATCACTTTCGCCCCAATGTCGCTCACGCGTGAATGACACGAGTGTTATTATCTCGCGCGGTCATCCGTTTCCCTGCTGCACATTTCGACGAGAGAAGGACACACACACACACAGATCTCTCGCACGTGTTGAATTTAATTCAACACACCTGTATTGAGTTAATTACACTTTATTATTTACAATTCTGACACGTTATACAGATGTTAAAATAGTATATCACGATATTTATTTTATATTTTATTTTATTTATAATCATATATTTCATATATTTTTTTATTTGTTAAAATTAAAAATATGAAGAACTACATTTTTTTGCACCCGAGTGCTCATTTGTGAAAAATTTTTCTTTTTAACGCGTATGAAATTTCTATAATACAAAATAATCGCGTTATATCTCTTTGTCGCAATTACATACACGCAACACTTTAAACAATAAATTGTTTTTTTCTCAAAGCGCGAGCGATATAAAAACTCAATTGGAAATGGCATTCGCGATATATATATTTACCGCACACATTTAACATAGCACCGTCGACGATATATACGCCGTTGTTTTATCCCCGCGACATACTTGAACTTATACAGGAAACTCGATTCTCGCTGCGTAATGGTGCGTGAGCAGACGTAACTTACGTCATCGTCCATTGAAGGCAACGCCAAGGAGTAAAGCGCGCGCGTCACCCTCGTCCGCGCGCTCGGTGTAACATAACGGACATATTCCTATTGACGTAACCATCTCCGCGAGGAGGGTTAGCGGAAGAACATAAAGCGGATTCCTCAATTCCGCGCATACTCGTGCGCCGCGTCTCGCATTCCGCGTGCGTCTCCCAGGTGTTATCTCCGCGGGGACGAGAAATAATAATTGCTAAAGCGCAGAGAGAAAGATAATTTTTCCTCGGGATCTCTTAAAGTTTGATAAATCATCCCCCTCGGCATAAATAAACGATCGATAGGGCGTAATGTCAGGGGTCGCGTCATATGCTTTTGCGAGATCCGTCGATCCGTGCTAAAATAAGAGTTAGTTCCGCGTTTAAGAGCTCCGAGAAAACGAGACCGAGAAGCAACGAGTAAGCCGCAGTGCGATATAATATAACTTCGTTTTCGTCGCGTCAATTGTAGAGAAATTATATACATATAAACGTCGAATGTGCAGCTCGGCGGATGTTCGAACGAAGAGAATTTCGAAGCGAAATTCGAAATCTCTTTTACGTCGAAGATGAACAAGTGCAACCGTCGGTGCACTCTTTTTTTTTTTCTTCTAATTTTATTGATCGGGCGTGTGAACTTCGCGAATTAATTTGACGAAACGCGCGCAAACGATATTACACATCGAGTTGCTCGTGTGGCACCTTGACACGTGTGTGGCGCGTTCTCTTATCTGTAAATAGTCATTAGGTATATTAATTCTCGATTGTGTGGCGGCAACTTCAGGGAAATAAATAAGGGAATACTCGCTATGTGAGACTATGTCAAACATAATTTATCGCGCAAATTGTGCTCTCTACTTGGCACGCAGAATTGTTGTATCCTTTCCTCATTGGAGGAGAAGATGTTGCAAAACCCGCAATTTTTTCGAAAAACGTGCGCGCGCAGAAAAAATAGAACAGAGGACGGACGAGAAGAGCAAGAAGGGGAATTGGGAAAGAAGGAGGTTTTGCGGGGCGAACGAACGCAACAGGTGCGCTACGTTTCCCTCGGTCCGCGCTGTGTGTTGTCGAGTACAGATGTACTCGAACGAGTGCGGATGCACCGGGGATCAGTGGAGTTCCGCCGAAAATTTCGCGGACGTCAATAATCCTCTGTCGCGCAGAAGCGCCTCGTTCTCGCCGATTCCGAGCGAGCTTTATCG